AGCTCAGGTGAGAGGATCAGCAGGGGAAAAAAACACAGAGCCTGAGAACATGGATTCTATCACTATATTCCGTAACAATGAATCATTCCAAGGTTTCCTTGGGGTTTTGCTTTTACACCTCCAAGAATCGCCACCTTAATGTGGTGATGGGGTTTTGTGTCTCCCTGTGAACCCGGGAGCTGTGTTGTCGTGGGCACTAACATCTGGTAGGGTCTCCAAGGCCAATTTGTTTTGGGGGAAGGTCAAGACTAATAGAGATTTAGCAAATCCCTTTGAAGCGGTAACAAGAGAAAGAGTCCGCTGGAAAAGGGAAACCGGGGCACTGCTCTGGAGCCAGACCCAGGTGAGAGCTCAATGGTAGGTGTGTGGTGGGTATACAGATCTCTGGCTGCCCAGACTGGTTCTTGAGACGTGTAAGGAGCCAGGCTCGGTGGGGGAGATGGAGTGTTACCAACTAGTTATTGTTGGGCTGACCTCCACACACAACAACCGTTCATGAACAAAACTCCTAGGAGCTTGACCCTTTATTCCGAAGTTGCCCAGAGTGAGAGGCCCAAGGTTCAATGCCCACAAAGAGCAATGATAGAGGCATAGAGACAAGAGAAATGAACGAAAGAAATGGCCTGCCTGATCTGAGCCTGAATGGTGTTTTTTACTTTTGTGCTGGTCATGTATTGGTTGTTCAGAGTGACTGTGGAGTACTACGCCAATCTCTGACTTAGGCATGTGTACGTGAATTTTTTTCGGTTTTAAAAAAAAATTTTTTTTATCCCTTTTCAGTCTCCTACCAGACACTCTGCTGCACAGTCTGAACTGCGTACACCTGCTGGCACTGCACAGGCAGCTGCTGGCTGATGCACTTCTTTTGGACAGGCCAACTATGCAGAATGCAGGTATAATCTGCCTTCACTTCCTCAAATACAAAGTTCAGATACTCATGGTTCATAGGGGAAAAAAAAGCCTTTTAAATGAAATGTCTCTCTTTTTCAGATCCGATATGTAGACCTATACTTGCTACCTTCCCGAGGTTGTTAGACGAACCTGACCTGCTGGATGCTCTCAGGGTCAGTCATCATAGTCACACTTTCTCATAATTGCCTTTAAAAAAAGCATAAAAGGAAATGAAACAGAAACAGAATTCTTTCTACCTTCCAGGGTGATCTTTTTTTACTGTTTGTAAATTGTTTTATTTAACAAAATTCAATCAATAATATCAGTAAATGCACATATTTGTGTTTTTAGAGTGCCTGGCTGGGTGCTGAGACCAGCATGAGCAGAGCACAGAAGGTCAGTGTATGTGTGTGTGTGTGTGTGATACCAGGAGTCTACTCTAGATGGTGCTGACACTATGATGAGTAACCTGGTCTTTTTAGGATGTATTTATGTGTGCATAAATCCTCAGCTCATAACATACTTAATGTTAAACTAGTTCTTTTTGTCTCTGTGTCTTTGCAGAGAGACTTGTCCTGTGTAAAACAGGAGTTCAGTAAAATCTACATGTCCTCCACCTATTTCCTTCTCCACGCGCCCTCACTTCCTTGCTATCGCTGGGCAGACCTGCCCTCTGAGGAGCAGCGGGCCAGAGTTGTCTTCTCCATCATGGACACTCTCAAGGAAAGCCAGCAAACCACGGGCCAATCAGGAGGCCAAGAGCTCTTTGTTGAACCCATAAATCAGCATCTTGCCTTTGATGTCACAGAGTTGACCTTTGACCTTCTCCAAGTGGTTCGGTGACATCAACTCTTTTAGGAAAGGGACAATTTTAATTTTTTTTTCTTTTTTTTTTTTATGTAGGAAAAGTAATGAAATGCATTCCAGTCATTTCTTTGGTTCATAATTTTTTTTTAATAAAAGTGCTTGACAATTTTTTGGTAAACCTGAAGGAAATGGCCGGTGTTATCCAATATTTTTGCTGCTTTACTGTAAAGTAGGATAACAACCAATATTATTTTCATGAACCATTAAGGTCTTTTTTCCCATAATACAGCCAAAAACTGTATCCTTTTGAATATCAAAAATTGTGAAAATGTCCAAGCAAATTTTCGAAAGCCCAAAGATTTTTTTTAATTTTCTGCTTTTCTTCATAACATTTTCAGAAATGGATGTTCTGTTTGAGTGCTTATGCTTTATTTTTGCCAACTAAGGGAGCACATTTTAAAAAGCGGTTCATGTTCATTGGTATGGAGTAACATTGTGATTAATAGATGTTTTTTTATTCTTTTTGGAAAACATACTCCATGGCATACAGTAATCAATGATATTAGTGTACACAGAAAATACTTGTTAGCAGGATCAATTCATCATTGTTTTTCATACAATCTTGAAACCCATCAGCAATTATATTCAATCACCTTCTGATGCAGCAATATGCCTCTGGGAACAGATACTAATTTCTAGGTTCTTTAAATTTTCTTAGAATCTATAAAAAGAGAGTAGTTTTGATATTTTCTTGGTATTTGTGGACAATCACAAAGAAATATCGCCTTATCCGTGCAAATGTGGGGGACCATTCCACAATTCTCACCAACACATGCAGAATACACAGTACTTGCACAAACCCACTTTTGTATTCACAGACACTGATCATGTCATATGAGCCAAATGTTATTGCCTGAATAGTTGTGAATAAAAGGCTGAGTGAATGCAGACAATGCAAACATTGTGACCGGAGCTCCTTATTAAACGAAACCATGAGTTCACTCTGCTGCTATTAAAGTAAACACTCAAACAGGTAAGAGTAATGAGGGAGTTACACTTTGTACTGATACTGAAACTGATGTTTGTGATTATAGAACCAACTTGATGTATGAACTTATCGGCAAGTTTTGATATAGCTATTTATGGCCAAATGGTTTTCAAATTTGTAATTAGTATTCTTTTAAAAACAGTTTTTGTTCTAACCCCTGTCATCTGACTGGTCACTGAGCTGCTCCATTCATCTCCACCCACTAGTTCAACATTTGTTGTGTGTGTGTGTGCATGGCGTCTTTTTATAGGTGGGTATAAAAGAACGAGAGCAGTGACAGTTTGGATCAGTCCGGGCGTAGACAGGCTCGGATAATCTCAAGATTAGTAACATTAAGGTGATTCAATGATTCAACATTAGTCATTTACTGTGAATCATACCTAATAGCATTACATTCGTGAAAACATGACATGCACCAAATAGATTCAGGATCGGCATCAAACCAGCATCCACACCCTGAACATTTATGGATATTTTAAAAACAGCCTCTGGTTTTTACCCTTTAATATTTTCAATTTGTCTTAGAAGAGAGATATGTGTTATTTGTGAGTGAAGGGGCTAGAGACAGATTTTTACCCAGAAGGCTTGTTGTGTTAAGTTTGTATTACTTGTAAGCTTCACATTAATCACTCTGATTTAAAAGTGTATTGATATTCTCATATTTATTCTGGAAAACAATATATAATACAGCTTAAAATGGGACCACACAGTGTTCCTGTTATGTTTGAGGACCCACAAAGACCATTTCTCAAGCGTCACTTCAGACATCCACATTATAAGCCAAAGCTTCTTCTCCTAACCATAAAACTAAAACCACAACTTCCCCACAGCTTAACCTCTCAACATCAAACAACCTCTTACTCCATTAAGCAAAATGTCCCCCTTAACTCTCGAACCCAAATCTTCCTAACTGTGCACAAACACACACAAACACACTTTGCCTGTCTTTGGGGTAGTGTTTGCTGCTGAATAATATATCATATCCTGTATTTCCACATTCCAGAGCTGTTGTCATGGTGACAGTGCCAGTGATGACCGGAGAGTGTTGTTTACTGGTGAAGAAATCTGGGTAGCCCTCAAGGAAATAAATAATAATAAAATATGGAGAAGCAGAAATAAACAAAGCAACCCAGGTGACAGAAGTTGCCTGTCAAATTGTTCATTGTTGTTGCTTTAATTACATAGATACATCACGTTAACACAGAATGATTGAGTTCTTTGTTTCCTATTTGGCTAAAGTTTGACAGGTCAACAATTAAAACAGTTAGGCTTTCCTCTGCTAGATGGTCTCAATGTAATTGGAAGAACTCACAGTGAACAATGCAAACAATCAAATGCAATAAATCTAGAGAACACATTTATATGAACACACTATATACAGTAAATGCATTAGTATGACCCTGTAACTCTCTGACTCACTTTTGCTTGAGTAACTAATCACATACTCTCTTTAGTACGATTGTCAATGGCTCATATTTGTAAGTTATTCTTACATATTAAGGAAATATAATTTGCATGAGTTATAGGACAGGCAATCCATTTACAAATTGTGTGCAGGGGAATGACAGCCACAGACAGAAAAGCCACAGACAGAAAAGCTCATCAGCAGACAGAAAAGCTCATTGTAAATGTGACTGCTATTATCACCTGGAAACGTTGAGACTTTCTCACCCAGTTCTCTTTGTGCCTGAGAAGGAAGAGGGAGGGGGAGCAGAGCACGTCAAGACCAGTTGAGCAGGAAAGACTGAGTTTCCAGGGAATAGACATACAGTAGGCAAAAGATGGAAAGATGAACCAGGAAGACAAGAGATGTTTTCTTTTCTCCTTGCTTGAAAAAGTAAACGTCCATCCATTAAAAAACTCAATATGAGAAGAAATTAAATAACAATAAAAAGCTGGAAATAAGTATTAATTTTGCACAGATGTTTTCAGTCATGGGGAAAAAGAAGGTTGACGCTGATTTAATACTCATTTGTGATTATATATAATTTATATATTGAATTTTTTTCAGTGATCCTTCGGCAATATTGTTGCAAAATTAAAAATAGATATGTATTAGAAATTTGCTATAAACTTACCCAATATGTTCTTTTTAAAAAATCTCTACTGTTACCAAATTTTCTCTTTTCATGCTCTTCATGGATAACCTTTTTGAATTTTCCTCAAAGTGACCTTTAAAAATATATAAACATTCATAGCCTGTAGGGTTGGTATGGCAGCAGAGTGGTTTATTTACACATCCAGCAGACATGGGGTAACAGAGGCTTTGATTTGATGATTTGGTCTAAATTGAAATCTGTTTTGGTATTCAATCAATCAATCAATCAATCATTCAATCATTATTTTTGTATACCGCCAATTCATAACAAGTGTTCTCTTGAGACCCTTTCCAAAAGAGCAGTTTAAAGACCATACTCATTGTTAAGAAAAATGGTTTAGGAGATGGGTTAGGATGCAGGAAAGATTTCTCCATTGTATTCTTTGCGTTCCTGTTGTCCACACTTCCTTGTCTCCGAGGTGGAGGTCAGATCAGCCCGTGTATGAATGAGGACGGCGGTGGTTATGGGGACGACAGAATCCGATGGTTTTTGCTATGGCGTCAGGGACATCTGGTGGTAGTAGTGCCAGATAAACTCGCTGAAGGTTCTGAGAGCTCCGTCTACTCGAGAGCCTGGATTCTGCTGCAGGGACAAGGCGCCCTGGGCTTCTAGCACACTGACACAGAAGCAGGGGGGTGTCCATTGCAGCAGGACGTCCGCACCAACAGTGCAAAGGAAGGCGCTCCCAGGATTCTGCAGCTAATAAACCAGCTTGTTGCTCGTTTGCATCTGTCATTTGGTAATGGGGAGGCGAATGATTGTGTAAAATGAACAATTGTGGGCAGTGAAATAAAAAGCAGCTAGAAGCCACCTCTACATCTGTTACGTATGCTCTCCTTATGCTCAAATAGTTAACAACAAAGCGTTAGAGTTTGTCATCCTCCTGAAAGGTCCAAGGTCAGATTCAGCTACAGAGCAGGTTGAGGTCACACAGGGTGAGGGACTTAAGTCCTTAAATATTAATCTTACAAATTAAACAAAATTCTTAACATACTTTGTAAATGGAATGCATGTTTTTTTCATTCAGGACACAAGCATTGGTACATTCTTCAGCATTGTTCATATATGCTGACACTGTGTAACTACACAAGACGCTAACAAGTAGAGCCATTATAGTCAGAGCCATAGTGGAGGAGCTAGTCTAAGGCGTGTCTCTCTTAATACTGGCCAAACACAACTTAGCTGCCTGGCAAGTGTAACCCTGTGTCTGTGTGGGAGTATCTGGTGGTTGTGTCAAGATAAATTAACATTTATATGAGAAGATAAAATGAGACGTTTACTATCCCACCGTATGAATAAATGCACTCTTTAAAGTATATCGATGAGGAACACAATATGAACTGAAAATTGAACCCTCCCTGTGAGAAGTTTTTGAAGTTGAAGACTGATTGAGTGTGTTGTCTATCTATATGTGTTGTCTAAAGGACAAGGGGTGTAGAAAATGTACTCTCCATGCTATACTCCAGTGAAGATCAAGGGGTGTTTAAATTAAAGCTTCACTTATTAATATTTCTTTATTAATGATGGATCATCAAAATGTGGTTTATGTAAGGGCTGCTACAAGTAACAAACCCAGAATAGTAATGACTCTTGTCTAGTGTCCCCTCAGCCCTTCATAGCAGCTTTCAGCTCATTGTTTTGGTTCTGTGGCTCCCACCTTTACTGTTTTGAATCCATTTGTATACTAACTGCCAACAACTAAATAGTAGAGGAACAAATAAGTAGCTATCTGGTATAAACCATAGACTGTAAACGAACATGGTGACGTCACTCATTGGTTACTAAAGGGGGATTTGGAAGCCTGTCAATGGCGGTGGCCATGCTGAAAATGCTGTCTCATCCTAACTTTCAGTCAACCTAACAACAGGCAAAGAGCTGGAGCTGAGGCAGGTCTTGAGCCTCCTGACAAACAGCTACACCACGCTGTCCATCAGTCAGGTCAGCCAAGCACCTAAATATAAATAAGTCTTTATCATAAACTCAAAACTGATGAGCTACAAGAATATTATTCCCCCTCACAGTGTGTGCCAATAAAGACATGAGCAATTCAGACCAATTTTGTCTTTGAACCAGACTGTTAACAAGGTAATTTCTGCTGTTAAAACGGGCATTTTTGAATGGGTGTGTATGTGACTTCTGGGGCTTCTGCAGTCAAGTGGACACTTGATGGACTGCAGGTTTGTGCACTTCCCCATTACATTCATTTTTCAACACTGAAAGTTGCTGCTTGGTATAAATGCATAATGTTATGATAATCTTCTTTGTGTCTGCTCTATGTGTACATAGACTGTGTAGACTATATGTTGACTTTAGAACTTGAAAATCTAGCTGTAAATTTGTGAAGAGAACATCTTTTGGAGACACGTGAATAATACTAGTCATGAGACTAAACCACATCAGAAGGCCTTTGGATGAATACTGGAGGAGTGATAACGGAAGTGCAGGAGGAGGTTGTTGCTCGGTTTTCAAGAATAACTCTGTTGCAGTAGTAGATATTCAGTCAAGTTTATTATTTCCTCACAAACACAATGGATGGGGGTTATGTATATAATATTCTTGTTATGATCAATATATATTTACCTTACCTCAATACAATGATACTATAGGCATACATTAAGCAGGACTGTTCACTGCACAATTATAAACATCTAAAGCAGATAGAATCATTCGCTTTGCAAGATAAAATATACCAAATATAATACATTTCCATCCATGTATTTCTGAGATATCTTATTTTTGAGAAACGTTTGCCTAAAATATGTTGTAACTTTGTCATTTGATCCTATTTGAACTTTAATGAAGTTGTGTCATAATCTTTGTACAGATTATTCAGTTATGATCCAAAATGGTCATTAATAGGTCAGAGTGAATTATCTTTGACAACCAAAATCTATTCAGATCATGTGGATGTTTATGCAAAATTTGAAGATATTCTCCCTGGGCAACCTTGAATTTGTATTTTCCCAATAATGGGACTATTTTAACACGTGTAGCAACTTCCACAAAACTGAAACAGCACCGTCTCTTTCCTTCTCTTGATTCCAAGTGTTTGAGAGAAAATTGTAGAGCTTTTATGAGATCTCTCAGTAATCATGTCAGGTTGACTCTATATAGATTTACTGGTGTTACTGACCTTTAGCTTTGTTGTAACACAGTTGGGTTGCCAAACACACTTCATTGACCTTAAGAGTGGCCATCTGATGTATAGGTTGACTCAGGGTGTGTCGGCATCTCCAAAACAAAGTGTCCAACCCAAACACTCCCCTTGTAGAGCGTGAAAGCTACTCTTAACCAGATGACTAACTGGACAAAATTAAAAGTCTGTGTGCCTTTTGAAAAGGCTTCTTAGCTAAGTGCATTGTTAGCACAAATGATAAAATACATTTCACAAGTAACCGGTAACTTTAGCTGGATAAGTGCAGAACAAAAAACATGATTCATAGTACCTTTGTGAATGGTGACTAATGGTGTATATAGCTTGAAAGTAAAAACCAGATACTGAAATTACATTAGCAGAATATTCTTGAGAAGATGATGTCACAGTACCCCCTGCACATACTTGGTTCAGTCATCCTGAACAATAGGTTTTGTATATTGTGCTGAGTTTTAATCCCTCAGCCTGGAAACCAGCACATTGTGTTTGGCTGTAGGACAACAAATGAACAAAATGTCATATTAATTTATACTTAAAAATATTAAACTTAATGACTTTTCTAATATATGATGTGACCCTCATATTTTTCTTTTAAATTTAAGTAAAGATACATTGACCAGTACATCTAAAGCTGGCTAGCATACTTTGTTAGTTTATTAGTTGAAGGGTATAGCATTGTGTTTTTAAGGACGTCTAAGGTTCTTTGTTTGTTGTTTCCTGAGATCAACACCATTTTCTTACACATAGTTAATCCAGAGCTGATCATTTATGATCATGGATCATGTTAGCTACAATTCTATAAGTGAGCAATCAAGAGAAGGTTTGTCAGCTGACACGATACAATTATTCATGCTCTTTGTTGTGGTGGTTGACAACCATTTGTTGACATTAGCTACTCAGTTCATGCTGTTAGGGAGTTTATGGGAGGCACCTGTGGGTTTTTCCTTTTTTATGGAATTTACCTAAAACATGGCCAATAATCTGTTACAACATGTCTCTGCTGGTTTAAATAGCTTTAGGAAAGCTCAGTGTAACTGGCAATGTATTTTATTCTAGCCACTCCTAGCCTCTCTCTTTCACTGTGTTTGCTCTTTGCTTGTTCTCTTGTTTAATTCTAAACCCCATTCATCTATATGAATGTCTCTGTGTGACATTCCCCATCCTCCTAGGCTGTCCTGATCCATCAGTCTTTGTTGCTCACCTGCAAGTGCCCTTTACATTAACAAACCACACTGACCGTCCCTCTCTCTCTCTCCATCCATTAACTTTGGCCTTGAAGTTAACTTTGCAGGAATGTAGTTTGGAGGGTTTCCATACAACAAAAAATTGGAAACAGTATTAAAATAACCCATAAACTGAGGCTTCAGTTTAGCTGATGAGGACTTAAAAATGTTAGGCTCAGAAGTCATTTGATTTAATTTGACCTTATCACAGTAGTGTAATACAGTGCTCAGATATCCGAATGTTACCCACAGGAAACAATCAGTTTAATAAAGCATGATCCACTGAACAAGCTGATTTTATGTACTTCAATTTTCAATTATGTAAACCGCATGGTTTAATACACAAGTATCCAGCGATACATTAAGCATGTGTTAAGATGAATTGAGTCCTCTAACGGAAGCCAACATAATGTCATGTTATAGAAGAAATTAAAGGGATACTTCAGCCATTTGCATTAAGCTTTGTATCATTAGAAACCCGGTAGTATTTTTGAATGGTCGTGCATCCTGCCCTCATTTTCCCCTGAGATGGGAAATCTTTGTATTTCTAAGTCTGAAAAGGAGCTTCCACTGATGCAAAATGACGATTTTTGCATCACTGGAAGCTGTTGCGGTTATCGTGGTGAAACTACAACGCTAGTTCCTCATATTTTCGACCACTGAAGCTACAGACCAATCACAGATCAGTGGGTGGGAACTCACTCCCAGAATCGAAACTTAACTACCGCCATATCGTCCGACGAGGAGCCCGGGCCGGCTCGAGCTGGGGCGGACTGGTAGTGTCGGTGCTCTCACTGTTTGCCTATAGACACAGACATAGAGTCTGTTTTCTGCCAGGAATTTCCAAGATCAATTCTGGAAGAAATCTCAGAATCAGTTGAGGAAATGGCCTCATGTGTTGAAGTAAATATGTCTGTAAATGTTTTTATTTCTATATTTCTACTGCTCTATTTTATATTTTGGAGAAATTGTAACGATTGAATTTCCCTCTGGGATTAATAAAGTATTTCTGATTCTGATTCTGAACTAGAGGACCTTAATAGGAGTGGCCTGCGGTGCTGTGCATTCTGTGATTTGGTGTCTTTCATCCACATGAGCCAAAAAGACACTTTCTGCCTTTTCTCGGCCAAGAAGGCACCAACTTCAAAATGTATTTCACATTTCTACTACATGTATGACCCAATGTCAATACAGATTCATGTTTCAACGGGTGAAGTATCCCTTTAAGTATCTAAAAAATGATCAAGATGAAGAAAAATGTATCCAGTTGAGTGATTTAGATCTAGTATTACTATAATTTTGGTAAATTATCTAAATATTGCATTTATCACTCTGCACAACTCATCAAAAATGTTAAAGAGAAGAAAAAACTGAGCCTAAAAACACAGATAGCACCTCAGTTTGGTGGTGAACTTTAAAACTTTAAAATATATGAAAATGTAGTACCAAACTAGATATGAAACTAGATGTAATGGAAGTAGACATAGAAGGGGTACAGATCAAGTTACAGGATCTTTTTCTTTTGGCTAACATGGTCATAGTTAATGAATACTTTTACATCCCACATAAAAGCTGCATTAGGTGGCTCACAATCACTTTGTGTGTGTCTATGTAAACAAGTTTGTCATTCAAAGGGACACACACAAACACTAAAAACACAAGGGCAAACTCAAACACATTAAAACCGCACATTCAGAAAAAACACACATACCCCCCCACACACACACATACCCCCCCACACACACACATAGAATGGAGAACAGAAACATTCACAAACAAAGCTGAAAGGCACCTGTCAAACTGGTATAGTTTCGAGCAGAGGAATAGATGGGTAGGTGGAGGATCCTTAGAGGGAGGTGCGGGAGGAGGGAGAGAAGGACTGCCTTTAAAAAGCAGATTAAAACAGGATACAAATTTATTTCCATTTTAGTTCACACACACACACACACACTGTATTTTGGACTATGGCTTCCAACACTGGGGCTGACGCTCTGCCTTCAGGCGGCAGGATCTTCGTCTCTATTCCTGACATTTTCTACATCCCAGAGTTTGTAAGTTTCTTATATATTAATTTCCTTTTTTTAAGAATCTTCCCCTCTTTAATGTTTAAAGCACTACTCCTTGAAGTCCTGGTTTGGAGCTCTCCATCTTTACTCTGCTTACCCATGTGTGTCGTTGCCTAAGATAAGAACTTTCTTTGACTGTTACCTTCTTGAGCAATTCTTTAAGTCAGCATCATGCAGATTATGACCTTGTTTCCTTGACACTAGCTCATCATTTCTAATTTGGAGGAAAAATATCTGTTTTCGATAAACCTCAGACATGTTGTGTTATGTAAATAGGCTAGTGTTGGATTTGTGGAGCAAATAGAGAAAGAGTATGATGAGAGGAGAAGAAATGTTTGGTCTGGTCTCAATGGTTGCAGCTCTCCATGTTTATATATTTAAGTATATATTTGGACATCTTTATATCAAAAGTTTATGTTCCAATCTTCCTACTAATTCAACTGCTTCAACTCAACTCGATCTGTGATATTGAGTCTTATCATCCTAATGAAGCGGTTAAAACCACTTTTCTTCATCTACTCGTAATGGCTGCTGGCACAGAATCACAAGTTATTTTAGGCTTGGCAACCAGGTGAGTTTAAAGTGACAGTTGGTTCCCATGACACACCTTATTTCAGGTTGACAAATAAGTTGCCATAGCAACAGGAAAACAGAAACTTCAACACATGTAACTTGCAAAATTTTACTCTGAAATACAAAATTGAAGAAAAAAAAAAAAAAGCATTAAGCATTTATTTTACCGTCCTTGAAATTTACAAGCGTTGCGGCCATGTTGTGTGTGAGACACAAACCCACACTTAAATGCACATTTGCTCTTAGCTGCTGAGAAACAGCTTGGACAGTGGAGGAAGTGAAAAGAGGAAGCTGAAATGTAACAATATAAGTACTTTTATCTAGTCTAGTAGTCTAAACGAAGCTGCTCTTGGCTAAATGATGCTACTGTGAGCATCATTTCTAGTCTGCTGAACACATGGATGTGTTTTTTTTAAATATATATATCTGGGTTATCTGAGGTAACAAAATACAAACGTGCTCCCAAGTTTGCTTGAGATGTTTCTTATCTCAATTAACATGAATGCAAATGAGCAGTTGGTCAGCGCTCCTGTTGGCGCATCATGGCACCAAAACCCTAAATTTATCTTTGAAGATCTTTTATGTTTCCCAGTTATTTCTACGGTAAATTCTTCACAGGTTGTTTGCAATTTTCATAGAAACTGAGAGCAAAATTCCTTTCAACACAATCCAATTATCCATTTTCCTTATGTATCAAATTCAGAGTGCTCACTTTGTTAAGGTAAAAAACTGACAAACTTCCATTGTTTAGGTCATTGAGGATTTGTGCTCCTGTTTGGTGAATCATCCAGAAACTATCTGCAGTTTCTGTGTAGGGGAATTCAAGATTAAATCTGTGTGACACAGGCAGAAAAAAAGCTTTGGTTGCAGATTGAGGTGTAAATCTAAACCAACCATCATCTCGCGTCATTTACTTGCTGTCTTGGATCTTTTTTCTGGCTCCATGCCAACAAACCTTTCCACAAAACAAGCTTCTGTTCAGGAATGGAAATGTACAGGTTCACCTTAAGTTACCAATAAGCACTGTTTTTTTGGGGCGAAAGGCGGCTGTGAAGATCAGACCAACAAAAAGACGTACATCAGAGAGTAAGTACAACACTAATCCATTCATACGACGACTCTACCAACTGAGCCACAGCCGTCTTTGTAGTTTCAAAATAATGCTCCTACTCATTATCAATCCATTTACCTTCTAAAACAGGGGTGTCAAATTACTATTGGGTTGGGCCGGGGGCCGGATTTGTTCAAATGAGACATCCAGTGGGGGTCCACATTAAGGGGTAAACTCTGTCATTGCAAACTGCATGTTGGCACATGGAAATATTTAAATGTACCACATTACAGAAGAAAACATCAATAATTATGTTTTGTTTGAGATTATTATATTATGTTTTAATATTGCTGTTCAAGGTTAGATTTTTACGTTCTGATGAAAGCTGGTGATAAAGGCGCAACAGCAGTCTACTGCATTTAGAAGTGATGTCGGGCTGAAACTTTTAGGTGATCAACACAACACATCCACCTCTGGGTGACCTAAAAATGAACCATCTGTAATTAAAAATCAGTTAATATTCATTTTAATTTACTGTTTTTACAATAGCCAGAGGTAAAATAAGTCGGGAGATGCATCAGGCTCAACGCCGGTGTCCACAACCCACTGTGTGGAGACGGTCTGGGCCATTACGCTTGGCGAAGAGGATTTTTTTTTATTTGCACGAGCTGCTCTTTGTGGCTCACTCCATAGGAAGCTTTGTTATTATCTGCCAAACTTTTGTTTTACATCAATCAAGACAGGAGAAACTGGAAAGAAGTGTGCACAGAACTGAAGACCATCAGGATGCGCGCGCAGTGCAGCGGTGTGCCTGTCGTTAAGTCCCGTATCTCTGATACAATTCTGGCAACTTGTGAGCAAATAAAACTAAATATATATATCGCTCTTTGAAAACCTGCATTCTGTGTCACCTCTCTAAGGTGTTCAGCCTGTTTGCTGATTAGCGTAATGCAGGAGCAGCTCGTGCGCTTGGCCACTTTTATGATACTCCCTGCTGAGAAGATAGTTCAAAGTGCCCCATTTACTAACTTTTCGTATCATGATGTCAACCTTTACGTTGCTCATTATACAAAGGTTTTTAATAAAATTCGGGGAAAATAAGTATTACAGATATTTAATTTATAAATAAATATAAATATTAAAATTAAAATTAAAAAAAAATTAAAATAAATATTTTTCAATACATTTCCCCCTTCCCAAAACGTCTCGCTTGAAACCTGCTGTCGGGCCGGATACGGCCCGCGGGCCGTATGTTAGACATCCCTGTTCTAAAAGGTCAGTTGCAGTGTACATATGAATCAGTAAGAAATGGATTATGCAGTAGGATTGGTTTATGAGGATTCCAGACATTCATATGTCTTGCTGTCACTCATGTTTGAATGATTCAAGTTAACTGTTGTTAATTCAATGGAAATAGTTTGATTGAGTAATGTTTCTCAGATATACAGATGGATACGTCTGGTTGTTGAATTGTAGAGCTAAGGCTTTCTCAATATTTTCTGTATGTAAAAGTTGAAAATAATGTTTGCACGGGTGGTGCAGTGTTTCCATGGTAACTGTTGTATGCTTTTTTAACCTCTGCATCAAAATATCTGAGATTTTCTATCTGAGTCTGGATTTGAATGATGATGATGTGGTTTTCTCACAAAGGTCAAAATTTAAAGAAAGAGTAATGCACATGAGGGAACTTAAAATACATAAAGTACATAAAAGTAAAGACTAAAAGTATGAGGGAGCTACATTTGAACTGTTATTCAATTAATGTGATATCCCCTTTGACCTGCAGGGGTGAGGTGACTGAAGGGCAACTTGTAACTTATAGGCGGCCCTTTTTTCTCAGTTTAAGAGCAATCTAAAGTACAGTATTGTAAGTATAGTTCTTTCTTAGGGTATGGAGCATTATTAAAAACATGTTTTTCTGAATTAGTCATTTAGAATTGTTCCTGGAGTAAACATTTTCAAGACCTAGGTCACCTGAAACAGCAGATTGTCTCTTATCCTTTCATTGAATGTCGTTTAACAAGTAAAAAGTTTTTATATTAATAAACTTTATTAATATAGCAATTGTCAAAACAGTGTTACAAAGTGCTTTACAAGATGAATATAAAATAGATAAAAACATGTATTTTAAATCAATATCAGGTAACTGTAGCAGCATTTTAACATGAGGCACATGAGAAAACTGATTGTATTGGAAAGAAGAAGTTTTTTCTCTTGCTTTGTGTCTTTTAACTCGTCATATAATATAGACAGTCTTTGTCAAAACTCACAGAACTTAAAGCGTCTAGACATTTTCTCTTAATGACAATAAGTGCATCCTGATATCTTGTGTGTGAAGAGCTTTAATGTCTGGAACAAGTGATACGTAAAATGTGTTGTTGCTTAGAAGGAATGTAAGAGTTCATGGGCTCAAATAAAATAATCAATCATCAAGAAATATTTGAAGTACCTGCAGGTGTATTGTTTCATTCAGGGTGTGGTGGACTTCTTATATGTGGTCAGAGTTAATGTTGGTTCCTGGAATAAAAAGGCACGGTGGCTATCTTTAATAGTCAGTGCTTCCTGTGTTTGCACAGCTGAACGAAACCTGGTTTTTTGAAACAATCAACACTAACTAAAAATGAGTAGAATAACTCTTCAACAAACACTTTTTGCAAGTACAGTTTAGTTTTTTTGTTCACAGAATCATTTTACAAACTTTCCTTCAACCAGAATCAGCTGTGAGGTTAGTTATATTCTCTTCATGCTAACCCCTAGTGTTTGCTGCTGCAGTTATATGAAATGCCTTCTCCACCTGTGAGATGCTTGTTTGATCTGAATGTGTCTCCAATCCATTCTCCTGCACCCCTGATACACTCTTGATACTAAAGAGATAATTAGTAATTGAATGAGCACCTTAATGATCTGCCCAACTGGAAACATATCAAAGCGCATTAGGCCGTTTCCCCAGCAGATATTTCCACTTGTCAGAGTAGGAAAAAGCACAGTTGATAATAACATCTGAAATGTATTTTATTGAAGTGTCTCAGTATGCCATGACAGTGTAAATGCCATCAAAGCAAACAAGCTGAAACGCGTCGGTCTAATTTGTTAATAAAGTTGTACTACAAGTGTTGCTAGAGCTTTTTGACCTCATCAAAATAGTCATCAGCAGAAAACAGGCTTTAGTCAACATGTCAAAATCTGTAACCAACACCAATGAGAATGTGTTATTGCACAATGAAAAGTAAAGGACACTTAATGGGTTTTCCTATCACAGTTCTTTAGCATATCAAAGTGCCTCTTATCATTGAGCAAATGCTGGAGTTTCATTGTCTTGTTAAATACCAAAGAATGTTTGTCAAAGGAGGAGAGCAAGATAGTGCACACCCAAGGTGTGCACCGTGGGTGCAAGCATGGGTGTGTGTTTAGGCCCAACCCCTATTAAAAGGTGTATATCACCAATTTTCTAAAGAAGTACTGGAAGAAACGTTATTCTTGTTTTGTTTTTCTTTCTATCCCAAAAAACAGGGATGAGTTCGGCAACCACAACAGGTCAACTTGCATAATTAGTCCATCAGCTTAATTAAAATGGAATATAAAAATATATATTTTGAGTGGTTATTAATAGAGAATTATCTAAGAAAAATGTCTAGAAAGACAAAGCAAAATACTTTTGTAATTATAATAAACCATAAGAGATTTGTTAACAAGCACCTTTTTGTGGACAGGTTGGCCTTTTCATCTAAGAAGATAACAAATGAAGTGTCAATGTTGAGTTCTTGTTTCTCAGAATATGTAAGACAAAAATGCATTATGTTGGTTTAAAGATGCAGAGTTGTAATTGATCAAATGAAGGTGGGTAAAATCTTGTCTGATACTTCAGAAATGTAAGAACACCACCAAAAGGGCTTCTGGAAACTGCAGACATGATAAATGTAAAGGTTGTGGGCGGTATACTGTACATTTCATTTTTACTCACCCCTTCCTCTCCTGTGTGACCCTGCAGGTTTTCGGAGGTTTGGTGTGGATGCTGGTGGCATCGAATCGTGTCATTCCAGAAAACCCTTTGGGCTGGGTGATGTTCGTGTCTGTCTTCTGCTTTGTACTGACGACGCTCTGGTTCTTCATTTTCCTCTTTGGCGGCAATCGGAGCAGCATCTGGCCCTCCCTGGTGAGACATTCCCTCCACATGCCATTTGGCTAATACACATGTATACAGACAACTGTGTCAACATACCTATTAGATAGTCAAAGATTGTTTCAAGACTTTAATGAGGGTAAAGCATCTAAGCTGGCTTTATCTAACAATTCCAATATCTGTATAAAAACACCTCTAAATTCATGAATACAAAAGTTGGTCAGTATCAAAAGATACAACTGGCCCGTAACTTTACTATTAAAGAGGAAATATTATACCCCTTTTCCACCTTTTCAAACAGTCCCCTGTTGTCTAAATGAAATGTCTGTGCTGCGTGCTTTGGTCAAAATATAACATAAATCAAGCACCAGAGGAGGTTTGTGACCCTGTACAAACCAACGCTCTCAGAACGCTCCGTTTTGGTGTGTGTGTCTCTTTAAATGCAATGAGCCCCCCCTGAGTTTTCCTGGTAGACATCACTCCTCTGTAGCGAGAATAAAAATGGCAGACCTGCACAAAAGTTTTGTTCGAGGCTGGGGGTGGAGTCCATGGGTGGAGATACCAGGGGAGGGGAGGGGATTTCTTTACCAGAATCTTGTGTCATCACAAGCTGAGCAAATTTTAAACGGAGCACTTTTCTGTGTTGTAAGACTTTTGCAGAATACAAACAAAGGACTGGATGGATTTATTTCATATTTTGTGGGTCAGTAGACACTCAGGTTACCCAAATATATGTTCAAAAACACTGTCAAGTGGATTTTTCATAACATGTCCCCTTTAAACATTTTTCATTATTGAATTGCAGTATCTATTCAAATAAAATTAATGAATGTAACTTGTAAATTATTTAGCTTCAGAGGTTTGTTACTGTCGTACAGGCCCGTCTAGATGTGCTCCCCTGTTTCAAGGAATCTGGAAAGCTAAGCTAACTGTGTCTCAGATAAAAGACTGGTATATATCTCCTCGCCTAACTATCCAACAGAAAGACATTATACTCTGTCTCTAATCAGGCATCCATCAGTTAAAAGTTCAGAGTTTCAAGGGATAAATATGCCTAGTTTAAAGTGTCACCTGAAGCTTAACACACATGCTTTTAAAAAAACCCTTCTTACATGCTACATAGTACACCTTAACAGAATAGGACATTTTAAAGTATGTCCAAAAGCAATATGTGAAATACATATCGTTTACAAGGAAATATTACAGTATACAAGTGAAAGGCTATAAAATGAGTATTCACAATACAGTAACCGTGACTACAACTACAACATAGAAGAGCAGCTTTTGTGTGCCTCAGTCATGCTTTAATTTAAATATAAGTAGAATGTGGATATTTTGCCAGGTGTTAAATAATTTATAATAAATCATTTTAAGGACACATTCGAAACCAGGTATTATGGTTGCTATTGGTTACCACATTAACTAGTTTACAACTGGCAAGGAGACTCTCAGAAAGTACCTGGAAAAACACCTTTTCTTTTCCTTTACCTCTCTCTCAGATCTTATAGTTGCTGCCACTATTTTGTATTTCACATCCTTTCGGCTCCCCTCCTTTCTCTCTCCAGTGCACCTTTGTTTTCTTACTCCCCTCTTCTGTTTGTCATCTTTTTCCTCCCGCTTGCCTTTCATCTTTCTGACCCTTTCTTTATCTTTCTCTCTCTCCCTGCAGGATGTTGGTTTTCATTTTGTGGCGGCAGTTTTCTACCTGAGTGCGTTGGTGATTTTGGCCTTTCTCACCGTTTCGAAAGGGAATTTTGTGAGCGCCATAGATACCACTCCAAATCCAGCATTTGCTGAATCTCTCAAGAACTACCGGCTGGATATTGCAGCAGTGGTATGTTAAACAGACACACACACACACACACACACACGCACACACACACACACACACACACACACACACACACACACACACACACACACACACACACACACACACACACACACACACACACACACACACACACCCTCATCTTACTACCTCGAGTTGACAGTTGTTGTTGTGTGTTTGTGTGTGTGTGTGTGTGCGTGTGCGTGTGCGTGTGCGTGTGCGTGTGCGTGTGCATGTGTGTGTGTGTGTGTGTGTGTGTTTTAGGTGATGTGCTCTTTCGCCACTCTTCTCTACTTCCTCCATGCCATTTTCTCCGCCATCCGATGGAAGAGCGCTTAACACAAAAAGGAACAGGAAGAAGAGAGGACCCCACATCACCAGCGGATCTTTTATTGGACTAAACACAGAATGGCCCTTTCTAATTGTCTTTATTTTTTTGTATTAGCATGGCCTTAAAAATAACTTTTTGTGCCTCGGACCTAAACATCGACTGAATAAACGAGTGGACAACAAGAAGGTTATTGATAAGTCTAACTTTTTTTATTGCTCTCCATTGCCAGGCAGGCTTACCCATTATTACCCCACTGCTTACCCTCTCACAGTTTAATCAGTATAGATGCAGATTAAAGTATATGTTGATGTTAAAGTTTGTCAGGATTACATGTTGTGTAAATATAGTTAAATGTCAGACTGAGTCAAATATTATGGTCCAGGTTCTACACATGATATTTTTGAACAAATGTTTGAGGACAAACCAAAATCTTCAACTGAATAGTTTTTTTTCCTGAATAACAGAAAGCTCTCTAAGGGTTAGTTCAGCAGCATCATCATCATCATCATCATAAAAATGATTCTTCATAAACATACTGTTAAAACTTCGTATTGAGGTGCAAAGTATATTTTGAATTAAGTTGTTTAAAAGTGTTGATAGGTATCCACAACCAACCAAAATTTGAAGACGTTTTGTTTCAGGACATGAAACATGTTCAACAAACTATTGACATGGTTAGAGAGCAAAGTGGGTAAGTGAAAAGGTTTAAGGCAATTTTATAAACTGGCCTTTTAAGTTTTGAATCAAGGGTTAGGTCAACGATTTAGAATAGTAATTCTGTAAAGATGTGAATAACTGATTACATGTTTTTTTATTTATTAAGTAGAGGCTGAAACATCCTCCTCAACATTTACACACTTTGAGGCTCTCCTTAAAACTATCTATAACAGCTCACATGCAATGTTGAGAAAAACATGTAAACATCTCATGAATCTAAATTCAAGGTAATCAGCCTGCCTTAACATTTTTCTATTAAACTCTCAAACCCACATGGAGGTAAATCAGACTCACTTCATCTTAACGTTCACTAAAAGTATCAAAGACATTCATTAGTGGTGTGAGCAGTGCAACAACGTGTTACTAAATTACAGGAGGCTTGTTCCATTCAAGAAAACAAAACCTGAAGACTCAGAATATAGTTATGAAGCAGCTCTTAATTTCCTACATTTGTTCACTATGCTTATAATAAAGAAAATAAATACATATATATTCATTAGCAGAGAATGTATAACACTTGATACGTCTTTTCATTCGATTTTAATACAATAGCTATGATATTTCTTTTTCTTTTTTGAAAGGTTCTGGGTGATATGAAAGGCTCTTCCATGTGATTTATTGTTTGCATATACATGAGATCTTCCAAAGAAATCCAATGATGTAAATATTAAACGATTTCAATTTCCAGGTATTTTTTTAAAATCTCTGATATGCAATACATGAATAGTACCTTCAAACATTGTGACTTTTCTGTTTATTTCAGTCCTTTTTAATTTAAAAGGAGACAGGTAGTCGAGTGAAGAATATCAACACATTTCGATAAAAATGTCATCGGATCACACTAACTTTAGAGCACACAATACTTGCTTTAAAAACACTCAATTTCACAATTACTTTTTGTCCCAATGTAAGATTATATGACAGTATGAGCAAGTTATTCTACCAAATCATTGGGTAACAGTCACCCTGTTTGAGATTCTCTTTATTTTACATCTTATTTGTTTTTCATTCTTAATGATCTCAAAGAAAAACTTGATAAGACAAATTCTAAAACTTTAAGATATGTATTTTGACTGTATTCTTACCAAGCGGGAACCTCCTGTATTGAAAAATGAAGCCAATGCAGAAGTGCAACAAACTGCAGTTCTTGAAGTGTCCACTTGGGGTTTACTCCAAAAAAGCCATAAGTACTAAAGCATGGTTCGGGCCCAAAAATTCCAGCCTGAACCAACCTGGACCCGTGCACGTTCTGTCCAACCCTGACCTGCCTCTCTCAATAACTGTATTCAATAACTGCTAATCAGGATGAGATCTTAATGAGCGCAACACGGAAGCAGAAAGACTATTAGGCTTATATGCTATAATGTAAAAAAAATTAGGGATACAAACACGGATTAAAACACTCATAAAAATATATACAAACTCTCTACTCGCCTCCCGGGCTGTTAGTGTTTCTAAGCAGTGATATGTCAGTGCGAGTGTATCATACACTGAGCTGTGGTTCTGTGACTCTGCGTGTTGTTACCCCCTCTCCTGTCTGTCTGCACTGCGTCTGTCTTTCCAACCCTCTGTCTGATTCTGACCTGGCCTCCTCCTTTTCTCTCTGCTGCTGATACGGACTGCTTCCCTGTTGCTGGCATTTACAGTATGGAGACTGCCATTGATGGGCTTCAAAAGTCTGTCTTCAGAAAACATTGAGTAACGTCTATGAGACTACGTCCAGGTTTTACAGTGATCCTTACACATTTGTATTACAACTGTACTTTTAAAAGTTTTTTTTAATTTTTAATCCTAACAAACTGAAGATCTTTTATTACCCCCCCCCCCCCAGAGAAACACATCACAGCTTGACTTGATTATGGTGGCTTCTTGTAATTGAAACCAGTGTTATGAAACATTAATCTGTTCAATCACAACAGTGTAACTTTAGTTCAACAATACTAGGCGTGCAAATGTCACAATTACATATGCTGCATTATTTAAATCACAGATACAATTATCTCAATTGTCTAAAAATGTTGTTTTGTGTCACAAGCATGCAATATTTAAAGTACACATATCAACTCCTGAAGGAAATATCCTGTTCTTTTGGTGATTAATTAAAAAACAAAATAAAGTTTCAATCTAATAGCAATAACGAAGAAACAGAAATAATATATCAAGTTGCATGGATCTGCTTAAGTATCAGAAAGGTTGAAGTGGTTGAAGTAAAATGTTTTAACCCATGAAGCCTATCTTTATTTATAGCCCTTGTGTGGAGTATAAATAGAGGCTGCAGGCACTCAGCTAACACAACAAAGGGGGCTTAAAGTTAGCACAATCTAAAACTCAGTGAGTCGTTTATTTACCCAGCTGCAACAAGGAAGATAGTTCCACTGCACAGGTTTAACTTTAGCCAAAGGGAAGAGAAATTCCTCTTCTGGTGGTTTGAAAATCTCTTCACAGGTCACCAGCTCACACAGGTAGCCTCAGGTACCGAAGGATGGAGGGTGTGTCCGGTTCAAGGAGTTGTTGTGGGTAGGGATAGCAGAACGGGTTTGTCTGTTACCTAAGCTGAGCTATAAGAGGCAGTAACACCTGCTGCTGCTCCGTTAGCTCACAGGAGAGGACAGGTTGTAGCTTCAAACTCGAAACCCGGAGAGGGAACAGGCAGAGATGGCTGCAACCACAGCTCAGCCGATGGGGAGCCTGCCCAGCGGAAAGGGGATCTGCACCACAGCCCCAGATGTATTCTACATACCGGAACTGGTGAGTGGACCCAGATAACGGATGAAACAGTTGACCTCTTTTACAATGAGAATTTTCACTGTTTGCACTATTTTTGATTTTATTTATTTTCAAGTTCTTCTGACTTTGATAAAAAATGATTTGACTGATTTTAAAATACTAAAAAAATGTCCTTTTATGGTAACAACGAACCTCATTTTGTTGGTGTGATATATATTTCAAAAGTTGATCAGGTTACCCTTTCTTCAAAATGTCACACAATGACTCAAATTAATAAATTATAGCCATTGTAAGGGATAAAAGGCAATTGGTGGACACAGTACTAATATCGTTAATGTTTCAGGGCTTCGCTGTACTGTGCGTATTTAAGTTACTTTTTAACTCCTACATAAAATGTAAATTACACAAATTGTTACAACTTCATGCATAATAACATGCTGGTCTCTAATAAACAGAAGCATTGTTTTTTTAAATTGTCCAACGTAATGTTTAAGATGAATTTTAAACGCTTTGAATAACAGTGCGATGGAAAATTTTGCATTTTTGGTAAAACAGAGGAAGACACATATTCCTTACATGGGGGGAGCAGCTCTGTCTTTTCACATCTCACATTTCACTCACATTGTGTCCCTGCCACTAAGCCAAGAAAAAATGCGGCCAACTCTTCTTCTCCTCTGAATGATGACAAAAGATAGAAACTGCTTAAATGACCACTGGAAGAATAACTACACTGAGGAAGGTGTGTTTTTGATGTTTATGAATACTTTCATTCTTCAAGGGGAAGGTTTCGTTGTATATTCCACATCACTTCCGCCTTGTTTTTACTCAGGAAGTGGATGAAGACTTTTTAAAAATAAGTTTTGGATTACTTTTAAATGTGTAAAGTCTTGTGTAAGTTGCATTGAGACTTCGTCCAGCATGGACAACTGCATCTCCTTTTTTTGATGATCCCAGCAACATGTAATGTTGGGACAGAGTCAAGTTCACCACTCTGTTGCATCACTTTGTAAGCATTATGGACGCCAAGGAGACCAGTTTATTTTGAAAGTAGAATGGGATTCTCGCTAAATGATTTCAGCTGTTTAACAGTTCAGGGCCGCCTTTGTCTATTTTAGACTTTATAATGCTCCAAACATTTTTCATGGATGTTAAATGGAGACTAGAAGGCATCAACTTTACCCCCCTACACTCTTTTACTCCATGCTGTTGAAGTATTATGTCCAGAATGTGGTTTGATATTGTCTTGCTGAAATAAGCAAGGCTCTCACTGAAAAAGAAGAAGTCTATTAGGCAGAAAATGTTGCTCCAAAACCTGCACATATAGGTCAGCATTGATGGTGCCTTCACAAATGTGCAGCCTACCCATTCCATTTGCGACAAAGTGCAACGTAACATCACATAAACTGGCTTTTGAGTTGTTCACTGATGAAAAGCTAGTTTGAATGATGTTGTGGTATCATTTTCACTGCTGACAGCTTGAAGGCTATATATGCGATTTTTCACACTTAAATGTAATAGAAATCAAGTATATCCTCTGAAAATAACTCAATATGTTACACAATATGAGCTAATTCCAGTAATCTAATTAAGACTTTTCATATGTAGTTAACATTTGTAATGTTTATACATTTGTTAATGTAATGTGGTAAAATGTCAACCAAACTCTGTTTGGAAGTGTATGAAAAGTATATACATATATAGAGATGTGGCTGTTTTTACCATTTTTACTTAATAACTTTTTGTTGATTTTTTTATTTATTTTTGTTAATTTTGGACATGATCTCTAATATTGTGGCTTGATATAACTGAAAAATAGATTTACATTAAACACAAATTCAAATATATTGACTTCTTTGGCCATTGGTTTTGGATCCATGCTGTGTTAATCAGCCTGCCTCTAGGGGATGTTGTTACAACAACACAGGTGACGTGTCGAGCACTATCCCAAGTTGCAGTAAAAATAATGGTACAGAAGAAAGCCAAAACAGCAAAAAGAGCTGACTCTCTGATCTAGTCTGGTCACTTTTATCACAGACAAATCGTCAAGGGTTTCATCCTAAGAACATACTGCTCACTTCATATATTTGTTAAGCTGCACAGGTGGCTAGTTTCTTCCTGTAGCTGTATCTCTGCCTTCAAACTTCTTTTAAGCCATGTCAAAGCTGATGGTTAAATCCCTAAGGGACTGCGGCCAAGCTCAAATAGGCAGTAAGAAAAATATGCATGTCAGTTTTACAGATTATCTTGGTGCTTGAGACTGTCTAAAGATCAGAAACCAGGAGTGTCATAACACTTAGATGGGGTAGGATATCACATCTTATGGGAAAACTCCCCTGCCGAAAAAATGTTCACAAGCGACATATTTCAGAGAGGATCCAGAGATTTCCCAAAGTTACTGTCAAAGACAGACAATGATAAGAAGAAATGGACGAAACAGAAAATTACAAAGGAGGTTATCCCTACCACTCCATCTCCATTTCTACAGGTTTTTGGTGGTTTGGTTTGGATTCTTGTCGCAACGACCCACGTGGACCCAATGAACCCCTTGGCCTGGGTGATGTTTGTCTCTGTCTTCTGCTTCGTCATGACCTTCCTCTGGCTGATCATCTTTGCTGCTGGATGCCATAAGAACAGCTCTGGCTGGGCTGCTGCTGTAAGACCTGAGAGAGCAAAACATAAGATGGTAGTGATTGGCTAAGCCACTGTTTTAATGTTTTTGTCTATTTGTGTGTGTGTCCAGGACTTTGCTTACCACTTCTTGGCAGCGATATTCTACCTCAGTGCAGGTGTGGCTTTGGCTACCATCACCTTTCAGAAGAAAACAGCAGGCAATTTAAAAATCTACAAGATCGACATCGCTGCTGTGGTGAGAACAGATTTAAGGATGGAATTTAAACGCATACATGCTCATGTTCACAAAATGTACTAAAAAACAACTAAAACAAACTCTTACAACACTCAAACAATTAAGAGTACCTAATATATCATGTTCTTTGCATTTCTGGGGGCAAGAAAACTGTTTGTGTATAAACTTGCCCCCCTGTTGGCCTTGTTGAGCTTAAGGCACAAAGATAGGAAAGTGGGAGAAACAGCTAGACGGGTAACTAAACCAACTTATTGCACCTTTGAAGCTCACTTAATAACACTTTATTTCTTGTTTTATTGACATACTGAAGAATTGTGCATGGCCAAGAAAAAGTAGACTGTAGTGGACAAGCTAGCAAGATCAGAAAGTAGCCAAGGGGTGTGACTTGGAATTAGGCTAGCTATTCACTTGATTACTGTCTATCTTCTAAGCTAAGCTAACAGTTTGCTTGATTCATATTTATTGGCCTATGGAGAGTGGTATTTAATGTGTCTATTAGCAGGAAAGGAAATAAGGTAATGTGTCCAATAGTTAAGTTCTTAAGTGCTTTGTGTATGTTCTTGTGTTTGTGTGTGTTTCTCAGGTATTCGCCTACTTGTCCTTTCTCCTCTACTTCATCCACGCCATCCTCTCCTCCATCCGATGGAAACACTTCTGAAGCAACGATCTAACAGCGACCTGTTCAGCCAAGAAACACTGTTTTTATCCTGTGTGCCCCGCAATGTGAATGTGAGTGTGAATGTGTGCGAGTGAGTGAGCGAGAATTCTAGTCAGATTCATTCAAAGATTTGAAATACTATATAAACCATGTAGAAACATTTGAAGAATGGAAATAATAAAATAATAACTGTAACCTTCATATATCATTTGTTAAAAACAAAATGACATGCAATCAATATTAATTGTATAGTGAGAAGCTCATTTTAATAAATTGATTTGCCTTTTTTAAAACTTGTATATCATTAAAAAACAAATCATATATTTAATTAATTATTATTAATTTATTTCATAATTTAGAAATTTTTAAATTTTGTTGCAACTTAATGTATTTTTTTCAAAAATCAAATAAATGAGAAAAACAACAATATCAATCTTAATGTTGAGCTGATTTTCTGTTAAGAGCAGACTGAGTTAATGTTGATGAGAAATGAGTTTGGAGAAAAGAGAGAGAAGTCAGAGTTTTAAAATGGTGGTGATGGAAATGTGAGGATAATAAAGCAAAGTAAAGATGAAGGTTCAGGTGATGTTGACTAACTTATTAAAGGTAGCCTGCCTAAATGTGAAGCTCTTGAATGAACCAGTTATATATTGTTTGTTTAAGAGATACAAATACTGTCAGACATCCTGGAATTCTCCCCTCTTGTCTGGCAACTCTCACCGATTAAACTAACAGAATACAGACTATCCATTGATGAGCTTTACAGGTACTGAGTTGTATCTTGTTTGCTGACCAGCTGTTCTCTTTTGCTACGGTCTTCATGCTAAGATTAGTTAAGGGGCTGCTTCAGACTCCATTGAAAAAGAGTAAGAATGATGTTTATGATGATATATACTTATCTCCTCACTCAGTTGAGTTGGGTCCCACAACACAAAGCCCTGGAATGTCCATCTTAAGCATCTTAGCCCTTAAGATCGCTCCTAAGGTGTAAAACCTGTTTATCCTCTGGGATTCATTTCATGTTCATAATAACACAATGTCTGACTAGATTATATCACGAGTCCAGATCCAGTTACTTTTTTTGTCCATTATTCCTAAGAGAACGTTTTTTCAATTTTGGGATCAACCAATTACAGCTTCTGACGGGGTCGACCACACCTCCTCAGTAAGATCAAACTTTCTGTCTCTTCCTCGCTCAGAGTTGCTCTGAGAATGTTCCTAAATCATTCCAAAGCAAGGACTTTTTTTTTTTTTTTTTAGGATTTTCTAAGCTGAGTTAGGAGCTCTCACAGGGAATTCTCAGAGGCAAGGCAAGTTTATTAATATAGCACATTTCAACAACAAGGCAATTCAAAGTGCTTTACACAAGACATCAAAAGCATCATGACAGAGGAAAGAAAAGAAACATTAAAACAGAACATAAAAAAAAAATAATAATAATAATTCAAATGAAATTAATTGAAATAAATAAAGTAAAAATTTAAAAAGAGTTAAAAGTTACAGTGCACAATTAAATAAAGAGTTAAAATCGTATTAGAATTGAAAGGCAGCTGTAAACAGGTGTAAAGTCATTTGCTTTCTTTTTCTTCTCAAGATTAAAAAAAGATATAACTGTATAGATATAAATGTAACATAACTGATTGCTGTTTTTGTTTACCACTTCCTCTCTTAACCAGTGACACAATTCATCTCCAATTAAAAACTCTACTTTATTTTAGTAGACATTGCTGTTGGAATATAGTACTACTACTTGCTGCATTATTAGATAAAGGTTATTAATGTAGGAACAGTTGAAAGCATCAGCATTGTTGGTCTTGCATACCGGTAAGTGCAGTCACACATGGAACAGTATGTAAATATTTAAATTTTTAGTTCAATATTTGAAGTGGATAAGAGTCCTGGCACGAATACAATAGCTACAGTACCAAGCAAAGCTGCATTTGGGAATAATAGTTGTTGTAACAAAGGAAGGTGGAACATTATCGAGGATACAGAAAAAGATTTAAGGTGAAAAGAAACTTTCCATTATTGCAGTTTGTGCAAAAAAAGTTGACAGATGCAATAAATCTTGTTGACTTGTATTTCAGTAAAATGTCTGAACCACTTACAGCATGAATTCTGATTAAAAAAAATTCACATCTTAACAAATATGATAGACCCAGGTTCAAAACTAAAACTACAGTGAAAACTACACAAACAGCGTACAAGAATTAAGCTCATTTATGATAGACAGTACAATGTAGAGCAATGCTGAGGTTGTGAGTTTGAGCCTCACCTGGAGCATTTGTCTCAATAGTTCAACATTACCTCTTCCAACAGGTCATGGACACTGCTACTGGTGGTTTGTGTTGACAAAAAGAAAGTAGTTCAATCACCGCCAGATATTCCAACCAACAGTTTAAAGCCTCTGCAGAAGTGGAGTTCATGTATTGCACTGTGACCTAAAGCCTATTGACAGTAAGTCCAGAGCAATTGTAATAATAATTGGTCAATATATTAATGATTTTTTAATTTATTGCATGTGCTAAAAGGCGGACAAACAGTGGAGAGAGGTACAAAGCAAAGCTTATCAGCTGCTAGCTTTAATAAGCATGGCAACATTAAAATGGTATTGTTTTTCTAATCTCACTTTAACAGTCAGGTATGAGAAGACAGTTAAACTCTGCTATATTTCAATTACTGAAGAGAAAAAAAGCCATTTAGTTTTGAATGTCTGTGCTTAACAATCATGAATTATTATAAATAATTGAGAGACAGAGAGGTACATGTCACACTGTAATTTTTTTACACATCAGCTTTATTTCTTCAGTACATACTGTATTTGAAAAAAAAAATCTCTGTGGATGTAAAGAACACAACATTTTATTCTGTAGTTAAAGAAGCTCGAGATATCCAGGACATTAACATCTTACTACATGTCAATATTGATCTTTATTTGGTGTATCTGGAGTATTACGTTTTCAGTGGAGATTTCTGCAGTTTGACGAATATGCAACTTTATTCCTCAGCTGACAAGACAATCAGAATTGTCCAGATTTGAACATTTTTAACAAATGCAATATTCTTTTGAGGATAAAGTGCTCATATTCCACACTAACTTTCATTTTTATTTGATCAAAGCCAAAAGTGAGACCCTCCCCTCTGACTCTTGTAGCCACCCTATGAGTCCATTCATCCATCCTGCGGTCTGATCAGGTAATTAGTCCACTCCCACACTACCAGATGGTGCGTTTGACACCTGCCCAGATTGAACGTTTGGTCCCGTGTGCGGCTCGTACATCGCCCCAGTTCAGCTTCGTGTCTGGGATCTCGTCTACAGGCTCAGGGTCTGCTTGTGCTCCGTCTTTAGGACTCGCAATCACCACGGGCAGCAGGCCTCGCTGTGACTGGAATTCGACGACGTGGAGTTTCCTATTCTCTGCGAGAGTCTGGTGAGTTTCCTGGAGGAAGAAGGGTTGAGGAAGAAGTGTGTTAAATCTTTAATGTGTTTTTAGAAAGGCATCATTCTAATTTAGATTGTCTTGTTTCTAAATTCAAAAACCTGAAAATAGTTGTAGCAAATAAAACTCATTTCTGAACACCTCTAAAGATCCCTCCCACTGCAACTATATGTCCCTACCTGATTGGCTAATCCAGTGAAGAGAGCCCTGGTGATGTTAAGTAGATTGACTGATCCGTCCACTTTGCAGTACATATCCTGAATGCCGATCAGCCTGCACAGCGTGATGACCGCCCGGTGACAGTGCAGACCATAACCTGCAGAGACAATCAAACACATACATTCACATGAGGATATCATCTTGTTTGAGCACTGCAATATAAAGAGAAGACATTTTAAATGTGGTTTAATATTATTCATATCAAATATGCTGGAGTGATTTCCAGACATTTTGCAAATACACAAGATATCATGAGAAATAGGAGAAACATTATATTAAGTGTCTCAAGACACATTTTTACGAGTCTGTGTTTTTTTAATCTAGGTTTTCTGGGGAAAAAAATCTGTGTAATTTGCTCTAACAAGGTATCAAAATAGATCAATTTGTGTATAAAATAATCAGATCTTAATCAAGGAGCAGCAAAAAGAAAATTTAAAAATTTTGCAAAAAAAAAAGTTTCAAGTGAAAACTAACAAACTGCGTGTATTGATACTATTTTAGGTTTCATTGAAATGTTTACTAGAACTTTTCAGTTAAAAAAAAGGCCCTCATTTAGTGGGACACCAGATTTTCTTAAATTAATTTATCCGTGTTATCATTGCTCAGCAGGTTAAGAGTTGAAATCGTCAATTTTTTTGAAACCAGAAACCTATTCCCAACACATACAAATTTTCCAACACATTTTACAGAAAGACAAAATATGGGATAGGATAGGATAATAGTTTTCTTGATCCCTAGAGGGGAGATTCAGCACGTTATCTGTGTTCATGCAATTATTTTAAGTACTGATATCAGTTTCATGAGTCTTCAAATCCGTCTCTTTGAAACGAACTGAAAACAAAACTGTGAAACATAGAGCTACCTTCATTTCTATCATCTCAAAGTATTTATCTTCCATCAACCCAGATGAACTAAGTCATACCAGTGTCCTTCAGCATGAATAGATCACATGCCTAACAGAATGAAGACGCACCTTCGTTTTGTTTCTTCAAGCGGAGTGTTGTTCTCTTGAACTTGGACTCGATGTCGTGATAAACTGTTGGAGAGAAAAACAACAGTGACTAATACACACCCGCTGGATGTTACACAGGAAAAACAGCTCCACTGATACGAAATAAACAGACACAATGAATCCATCTTTTGTTGTGCTTCTCTTCTCCTGTTCTCCCTTAGGTGTTGTGTTTCTCTACCTGCCCACCAGATGTCCCTCCACATGGCAGAGCGCCCCCCCCCCCCCCGCTGCAGCAGCACTAGCAGCTGTGGATCATTAGTTATTCAGACACACACGCCCTGAGAAGGAGCTGCCAGCCGCTGAATGAAGAGTTAGAAAACTGGAAAACTCTTTGGCTTTGGGGCTAAAATGTTATGTTTCCTTGAATCATCTTGCTGGCTGCTTTCCCTGCATCCTCTCCACATCCAGTTAGAATGTGATACACTTAATGAATTACGTTTTGTATCTGAATGCAGCGCCAACCACAAAGTCAAAGCACATTCAAATAACCAAATTATTATTTTTTTAACTCCCACACTTATAAACTTATATAAAAGGTCCAATCATGCTGCTGCATTCAGACTTATTCTCATTCATTCTAGCTTCATATTATATCTACTTTACATCACTGAAGCTTCCTTTATATTCAGCAGTCATACTGGTGCCAACAACAAGGACAACAGAAAACAACTGGAAGCTAAGCAGAGCTCAAACATCTGTCAGACATGAGCGACTGTCAAACGTACAAACCCGCAGCCTCCCGAGTATCTATCTATTTGTTTTGACATGCGTAGTGGCCAAGACAACCAGATGTTTGATGTTCAGACCAACACGTCAAACAATTGTACAGAAAAACTGTTAATCATCCTGTGGAAGGGGTCCCAGATCTGGACTCCCATCAGAACCATGAATGTGAGTGGCCTGCAGAAAAACTGAAAAATTGCGTTTCAGCCTCCCTTTGTAAAATCATACCAACTGTAAATGAGGCGTTGGCTTCATTGAGTGTGCAACAAAGGAGAAAAATATAACCTAATGGCTGTAAGATGTGTCACAAAATGTAAAATAACCGTTGGCTCATGGCTGTTCAGACAGCCTGCAGATGGTCCCGTAGTGAGAGCTGGCATGTAGAAGGACATGAACCTGCAGAAATGTAATATACCACAGCTTTGAGCTCAAACGGGGTGGAAAGACAGCCCACCACACACACACACACACACACACACTCACACAGAGACACTTCTCAATTGGTGTTGGGCCAAAAAAAGGAAGCTAACTTTCTCCTCTGTTGGGTGCAGTGGAGGCTGATGATGACTCACACACATTAACATTTCTGGCTTTGCTCTCCAGCAGCAGAAGAAGCCAAATGAGGCTGTACAATAGGAAAGCACATAAGTGCTAATTAACTCTCGTAGCTTTATGCAAAAACACATTTATTATACATCATCCTGCTCGTACGAGTGCTTGCAGGCGTAAACCAGAGGACGGTGCTGGAGAAGAGGGGAGAGGAAAGACGATGATGATCGGAGGAAAAGATTCTGGAGAGGTAGGAAGGGTGTAAACCAGAGCAGTGAAATATCAGAGATGTGAAGTAGGAGATGCTTGTTTTCTAGCTGTTCTGATTCTGGAAGTTAATTCCCTTTCATATTTGTCATCATGAATGAGGTTATCTGACTGATAGTTGGAGCACTTTCGCAGCTCAGATCTGTACAGGAGTCTCAGACTGTATAGACGCCAAAAACGCATCATTATCTAGAAAAGAACAAAAGCATATTTCTTAAGATAACAAGACATTTTGAGATTACAATGTAAGTTATTTTTTAATATCAATTCACCAACAAAAAAAAACTTGACCAAAACCAATAGTTTGCTCTGATTTCAGCATTTGAGATGACTATCATGGGGTGGCAGTAGCTCGGCCTGTAGGGACCTGAGTTGGAAAATGGAGGATCACCTGTTCAAGTCCAAAAGCGGAGTCAGTTCACTTCCTGAGCATTGCTGATGTTCCCTCAGGAGCGCTCGCTATGGGCGGCCCCCTCACACTAACATTTCTACCCTAGTTCATGGGCATAAGATTCTGTTTGTGCATATGTGTGTATTTCAGTCCAATAAAAAAAACAGACAAAACCTAATTCCTCTGACAAAGCTTAAATCATTAAAAACTTGGGGCTGTTAAATCTTAGGACTGTTAGGTTATCCAGTACAATCTCAGGTTTTGTGTTCAAAAGGTTGAAGACCATTTTCAAAGAGAAACACTGAGACACCTTGAGAAGAGTTAAGGAGACAAGTACTTACTGGTTCTGTTGTTGTATCGCTCTATGTAGTACAGGTAGTGGATGGCTCTGTTCTTGGCCTATAGAAACACAAACAAAACAGAAAGTTGGATTTTTTTAAATTACAATTAAAATTTCTATTAAACTGTTGCCTTAAACACATTATATAATTATTAACCTTTGAAGTCAAATTTCATTATCAGCAGGAGTACTAATGTGATGAAGCTAGGCAGGAATAAATAATCCAATATAAAGACATTTTTAGAGCTGTGTTATAGATCGTGATTCTCTCACACAACAGAATACTGGCGAAAAGTTTCTCCATGAATCTTGTGATAATGATCAGGCAGAAGATTTTAAATCTGGAGAGTTTTCCTTCCACTACAGAAGCCGGAATGGGAACAAATGTCAGTTTATTTGAAATGATCCAATATAGGTGATGCAACAGAGAACATCTTTAAAGCAGGCTTCAGATGAAACAAAGTGTCCAATTATTGTCTAAATGCAATAAAAGTGCTGCGACATTCAAATTAGAGGTGGGCTATATGGGAAAAATATCATATCACGATTTTTTTTTTTTTTTGCAAAATCACAATCACGATCACGATTTTTTTCATACTGATCTTTAGACAAATTAGTAAATTACTGACCAGTTCAACCAAACTTATTTCCCTGTATAATGTTTTTAAATGCACAAAAACTGTGCTGACAAGTTCAGTCTATTTGAAAAACATCTTTGTAGGAGGTCTCACCCAGAACATCTTTAGCAACAGAAATGTCTTTCCCTCAATCGATCAATATTTATGCACAATTTGAAGGTTTTCCTCACCACTTTGAAATTATGATTTAGTTATGTGTCCTCTTTTTATGTTCATCAGGAACACGCAGTGATGCATTCATTTAAAAACATTAGACTTTGAGTTCTTGTGTTTCTGTTCTATTTTAGCCCTGCAGAGTTCCTACAGCTGTAGCTTCATACAGGCTCTGCAGCCTTTTTTTTTTTTTCCATGACATCACTGGACTAACTTCAGTTTAGTTTATATAATCAAACATAAAAGACTGGAGAGACTGTGAACGTTTTTCCGGCTCGTTAAAAGGTTTCTTGTGTCGCTATCTGAGATGTAAATTTAACTATGCAAACTATGCGAATAAGTTAACTGTTGTTCACAGCGTGTCGGTTTGAGAAAATATCAGAACATTTGCATATAACTGGGATGGAGTTGTTTTTGTTTTTGTTTTTGTTTTTCTTGTTTTGTTTTGTTTTGACCGCTGCGGAGCAAAAAAGGAGGGGGGGAGACGCGTCTGTGTCGGAGCATAAACTGTAGCATGATAGAATAAACACATTAGCCCGGTTCTATGATCTCCCTGCTTTGGCAGATCGTCCGCAAGTTAAAATCCTTCACGATCTAATCTCGTCATGTCGCCCACCACTAATTCAAATCTAAAACATTTCACACTTTGATGGTATACTTGGTGGGAACCATTATGCTCTTTGGTTTAAACTTCGAAGAAGAGGAAGTCTTACCTTCCTCATAGCTGTCATTCTGTCTGCTGCTTTGCCCAACGCGAAACCTGGAGGAGGGAGACAAGTAATGTGTGTTCTCCTTCAAACGCTGTTCAATTAATGCTACAGGTATTGAGCCTATATGAAAACTGAAACATGATGGCATTATAAACAAAGCAGCGCTAATGGGCTGCAATGAGAGGTTTCAGAATACGAGGAGCTTTAACACTGTCATAAACTTTTCTATACTTTTCCTCATCTACACAGACTGACAATTGGCCAAGCTATATTTCACATATTGCAAAAATGCAGACACATTTTATTTCAGATTCAGGTAATTTTTTTTTTCTTCCAATTGATAAATCTCTAGTGATTTTAATCCCAGAGTCTTGTCCCTTTTTTGTAGTCATACCTGCAGCTCCATTCCCGTTTCCCACAGCCACCAGGCAGCTGACAGACCTCTTCCTGCCCTCCTTGGCCGTCATGTTGAACACACTCTTCATCTGCAAAATAACAAGAATCCAACAACGTCACATGAGAAGGAGTGATGTTATTCTGTCAAGGACAGAAGAGTGCAGAAGATAATCCCAACAACCATGAAGTGTGAGTTTAATCTGCTGAAGTTTTGAAACTACTTGTTAAAGCTGTGCTGGTGCTGTGTGAGTGTCAGGGTCTGTGCTGTCAACGCAGACGTGACTTTTATCGATCTGTTAAGTAAACACAGCACACAGTCATCCATCACACAGATGCAACAATGTTGTGCTGATCATCTACTTGCAATATCAGTCTACAAGCACCAGGGGGCAACGTTGATACACCACAGAGTCAAAAAAGGAAAGGGACTGAAAAAGAGGGAAGAGGAGTAAAGAGTTTACCAGAGGGGGAAAACGAGAGGAGATACATAGGTCAAAATAATGAAAAGGGCAGATTTGAGGAGAGAGGGGGAACAAAAACATGAGCTGTTCACTAAATAATGAGAGAGAGAGAGAGAGAGAGAGAGAGAGAGAGAGAGAGAGAGAGAGAGAGAGAGAGAGAGAATATGAAGGGATGCTATGAGAAAAAAAAGGTATTGAGGTAGAATAGAAAAAAAGGAGGAATAAGTAGAAAGGAGGCAAAGGAGGAAAAGAGTTAAGCATGTAAAAGGAAACAAGGTTTTTTTTGCTTTCAGGAAAAGCAGTGATTTATGTGAGGGAATGATTCAAGTAGGAAAAGGCAGTACAAAGAGGACAGGAGAGGAAAGACGAGAAATAGCAAACAAGAAAAGTAAAAAGCCAAAAAGAAAGAGGATGAAACAGAATTGACAGAAAAGGAGGGAAAAATTGAAGGGCACACAGCAGACAGTGAAAGCTCTGTGTCACAGGCAATGCACATGTGTCTGTTTGACCATGCACAAATGTGTACGCAGTATGAATGTGTGAGAGAGAGAGACTGTGAAAAGACTGTGTACCATTGACTTGCATGTGTGTTGTTTAGAGAAGAGATGAAGAAACTGCTGATGTCTAAAACAGCCTTTAAAAAACCACACAGACAGATATACAAATGTTCACACGAAGGCACACACGCAAGATTGCGGTTGCTAAGTTACTAATTCACCACAGTTTCAAAAACCCAGAGTGAGTGGAGCTGCTGAAAGACACTTTGACAAATAAAGTATCCAGTTGTACTGATGACTTAATTAAACTGAGTTAATTAAGATAATTAGAAAACTTTTTGAAATATTTGCGTTCCCTACGTTTCCATCACATACTGTTTTATGAATGAAAAATCCAATGTTATTGTAATTTTAGGGAATTTAAGGTTACTGTGATTTTTCATTTGAACATTTTCAACTACAAGAATCGATGATCTATGTTCTGGCAGGTGGGATGGGGGTCTGGTATAACGACGGCAATCTAAACTCAGATCCAGGTGTGCCATGTGTCTGTGTCTCCCTGCCACATGTTGTCTATAGGCTGACTGTGCAGGGAACCATCAGCAGTCTTTTGGGGACATGTCTCAGCCAGTAGGACCCTTCAGTTCACCTTAACACTGTTATCCACGCCAGAGAGCCCAAGTGGCAGAGCAAGTGTTGAATTTCAGCTGAGGCAACTTCAAAGTGAAGATGTGCCTCCAGCCTCTCTTCGTTATGTAACACACACCTCAGTACAGGAGTTTTAATTTAACTGGAGGGCCGCAGCGGAAGGATTCAGGTCAGGAAAGCAGCAAACACCAAAAACACTGAGAACATAACCCCGCCAGCCAGGACACACATTCACATGTGGCGAGGTGCCTCTGCTGGGTCAGAACAGTTTTACACAAACCTGACACATTTTAAAAACCTTACTCTACTGCATGCATGCACACAATGCTGTTTGTGAAGTATACACTACAGTTACTACAAGTTATGTGATTGGACATACAGAGCACAACAGCACTTAGAGCTGAACGTTATTCATCACTCCAGCTTCTTTTTATGATCTAAATCTGAAACTGTCTGTGTACATATACTGTAACATTTACATTTAATGTCATTGTTTACATGCAATGATATATTTATTTATTTAACAACATTTTAATGAAATAATGATTCATACAGCATAAGCGGTGTTAGGTCGTAGTAAACAGACAACGAATGCTTATCTGTTGATGTTAGTTTTACTGATATGTGCCAATTGTAAAACTGTTGTATAAAATGTTTACATCATTCAGGGTTTGCACTAGGGCTGCACGATATTGGGAAAAAATGACATTGCAATATTTTTGTTTCCTGCGATATATATTGCGATATTTTTTTAAGTTTACTGCTCCCTGAAATGATGATTACAGACTCTCACCTCTCTCTGCCTCTGTGAACACTATTTGCGTTTGCAGAGTCTTAATCATGTTGATCATGTACGTTAATTATTGATATCGATCTATAATATTTCCTGCAAGTGATTCTTCTCACATCAGGTTAGACTTTTTAATAACGCGCTCATGCACTGAAGTTCCATCATTTAAGTTTCCCTCCGCGACCAAATAATATTACGGGGATATTTATATTTATATATATATTATATGTTAACATGCTGCGCCCCTCCAGCCTGCGCGTGTGAGGGAGAGAGAGACACACAGCGGGAGCGTGCACATACATACAGGCTGAGCAGACGCGCAATGGCTCACAGAGTTTGTCCTCCTCCGGCGTTTTGCCTTTTTTGTAGGCTTGAGTAATCAGTTGAGATGTGAAACAATGAAAAATAATGTTTAGAGACATTTCTAGAACAAGCACAATGCATTTCATGAAGATGGTCCGCCTTGGAAAGAGAAAAAGGGCGATTTCTGCAGGAAGCAAAGCAAACTTTAAGCAACGGATTACTTCGACATTAAACTACGACTGTTTCCAGTTTGGTGGGAAGGAGGACGTGAAATAAACAATAAAATGGGCTATCAGAAGATCGAAGCTTAGACCTCAAAAACAAAATCGAGAGCCCGTTCTGACTGAAGACAAAGTTGAACGCACAGATCTGGAGGCCGCTGCCTTTAACTCCGAAAGTGTTAAATATAGCCCCTTATGTGATGTTAACTATAAGCAAACTGTCAGATTATCAAAATCCCTGCTCCTCTCCGCTCACATTCACCGCTCCCTCTCTCTCAGCCAACTGGCGCTCCTGTAATTATCGTTTATGACAGATTCACAGCGATGCTGATATTCAGCCGTCCCTCCATTTTCTCATTTGGTACTACTTAAGTGTACAGTAATTACACTATGCCCTGTATGTGTTTTAGCACACACACATGTTGCTGTCACACTGTTACAGCAGGCCAATAAAAGAAGATTTCTTTCCAAGCAAGTGTTATCATGTCAAATTCACCTCTCCTGCAAAGATCCGGACTAGCTGATTCTCTTACACTGCATTATTTCTCATGTTTTAATGTAGCTTGCAGCTACTGGCCGTCAGTTTCTATTAGAGGTGTGTGTGTGTGTGTAAGTGTCTGCAGTGATGTTGAGCTTTTGGCTTTATGTCCATGATTTTAGCTAAAGATGCAGCAGTTTTTGGCAGAGCAGCATTAGCAGCAGAGCAGATGGGCTGAGTTTTTCTGCACCGGATGAGCGACAGCATGGTGGTGGGAGGACGCTCTCACTTCTGTTTCATCTCTTATTTTCTCAATCTGTTGCTGCACATCTCTCTATCTGTATCTGTATCTATATGCTGCAGTGCAGGGGAGGAGTTCTCAGCACATGGAAGCAGAAGGCACAAAACTCCACCAACACTGACCTACTGATGCGCAACTACACACTATTTTCTACACACATTTCATCAATTCTAGCTGCACCAAACATATTCTTAAGACCCACACTGGTATTATTGTGCTTTTTCCAGTGATCACAACCTCAGGGTGAAAAGCTCAAAAGCTGTCAAAATTAGGGCTCGACCTTTGGGATTATTTGGTCCGATATCGATATCGATACAAGGGAGAGAAAAAAATCAGATACCGATATATCGGCCGATATCTTTCTTAGAACTATGTTCGATCTGTAGAGATAGATAGATATAGATATACACATTTATTGTGTTGATCTCTCAAATGCAGTTATAAAACACTTGTGGAAAATATATATAACGAAGACAAGATGGTTACTCAACTGGAAACTGTAGCGTACGTGCATCACTGCTTGATACTCTGAGTCATAATACTTGTTGTAATCCAATTGCACCCTCTACTGGTGAAAGAGAACTATTAGGGTAATACAATGAAACTCAAATTTTTGAGTGGTGAATAAATCTAGTAATACCGGCACATATCTGGGAGAAAAGTAGCGGATACCGATAGTAAATGGATAAGATAATATTGGCCGATATTATCGGCTGGCTGATCAATCAGTCGGTCTCTAGTTAAAATCCTGTGCTGCTCTTTTCCTTGATGCAAGTCTCATAGGCAATCTGAAACTTCTTAATGGGACTGATTCAACTGATTAGCACTGAAAAGGAAAAATCCTTATTTACAAAAAAATATTTAAAATGTTTTCTTTAAAAAGTTCCTATGTGAACCCTTCCTCTGATAAATGACGTGTTCATAAACAGCAGCATTTTTGGCACAGGAAGCTCCTGTATGTTTTTTCCTGATTAGCATAGAGAAAACACCCTGATAATACATATATAAAGGGCTTGAGACTGAAGGATGGGACTGTGTGCACACGGCACAATCACAGAAGTCACACTGGATCTCAAAGATAAGACGAGAGATGACCGAGTATGCCAAAATGAAAATCTTCAAACAATTGCATACTGGACGAAAAGTTCCAATTACTTAAGTAGATCTAAAGTGGAAGTAGGGCTAATTAAAGTAGTTGATACTAATATACACTACAAACGGATAAATAGCTTATTTCACTAGTTCAGACAGCGCTGTCAGCAGAGACGATGTTCATCATGCTCTTATCAGGAAAGGACACACAACAGATGAAGTAACAAAGAAAGTTCAATTTGGGGGCCTCAAATAACTGGAAACAGGAGAAACACTGACCATAGCTCACTTTCTTTTTTTCAAAATCATGACAATTTGACAGAAACCTAAATTTTTTCTAAAAGCGGACACTGTAAAATGATGGAACAGCTGAAAAATAAATCCAACCCTGCACATTTTTCTGCACATGCTGTAAAAACTATAAGAGTGATCTCCTGCAATTGACAGTCAATTAAAGTGGGTATACTAACTTCATATGCATCAGCTCTCCTTGTAGTTTTAACAGCTCTATATTGTTTTTATTAAAAACATCTTTGTTGTAAACTTTAAAAGGTGTTTTTGTGTGCAATTAGGCTTCATTTTTGAAGCGTCTACAAGCTACCATCAAAACAACCATAAATAATGCTTTAAACAAATTGATCCAGCTCTATTAGTACCTTTCACTTTAGAGATTACATTTTTTTGTACGTGCCCCTGTGAGCCCCGCTCGGCTGTTCAAAGATTTAATCCAATTGAAAGTTCTTCCCAAAAAGTTGTTCTCATGCAGCTCGCTGTCTGTTTACTCTTCAGTGAGAGAGAGGAGAAAAAAAAAGCCAAAAACCCCTGTTCTGACACTGACAACGGTCCATCTCTGTTAATGAAATCACTGAGTCCGCTCCAAGTGGCTGCTGTAGCTGGAGAGAGGCCATGAACATAACTTTTCCGTCTGACGCTCTAACTCTCCTCCTATTCTTTCGCTCTGTCGTCCCTCGCCCTCTTAAAAGTTAGACTGATTACACTTCTGTCTGAGACAAGGACAGAGACGTGCAGACTGAACCCCATGACATTTCTAAGGCTGTTGTTTGTTATACGTTTGTATTATATTTAATTATTCATTATGGCTCTTTTGATCTTTCTCTGTATTTTACTCAAGTGCTCACACGGCACATCTAAAACTGCGGACATTTTTAACACCTGAAAGAGAACATAACAAACATGATGCTGCTAACCTGTTAGAAAACAGTTATTAACACACTGAGTCTTAATGTCACCAACACAATGACACATGCATGTTTTGTAAATGTTTAGGCTGCATTAGGCTTAATTTTCTGTGCGGGATCAAAGCACATATTTATACAATAACTTTGTTATAAAGAGAGACGATGGGCGACACACACTTTCATAATGCTAGTGCAGCTACTCCTGGAAACCTTATTTTTTCCCCCCTATGTGTCGCTAAACAGAAATAATCACTAGCACCATCCAAACACTGTGTTTAAGTTCTTTCATTTATACAGATCATTGATTGTCGTGGGCAGAGAGTCTTAGTCACATGTTAAAGGAAATGTCACTTTTCAAGCTGCGTTAACCAGCCTGTTTTTTTAACATCAAGTAAATGTAATGAAACTGTAGACATTAGCTTTTTAATACCTGATACTACCTTTGGAGATTTAAAAACTGACATCAAATACCACAAATAATGATATATGATTATTATATGTTGTTGCACAAACTGATGCAGTTAGCACTCCTGCCTCAGAACAGAAAGGCACTTTTTGTTTGCTTTCCCTCAACAGGTTTGTCACAATGTAAGTACCAGTAACTGTTTCAATTATTAAGTGTAATAATTGGAGTTTAGCACACAATAGTGTCCTGTAGCAACAAAAGGCTCTCTATAATTATTGTGGACGACTAAAGCAAAGTTTTGAAAAATTCTAAGTCACACTTTATTCTTTGGGATTGTGCAAAGTTTTCAAGAGTCCGTCTGGGTCGACAAAGTCAAAGAGCAAATGTCTACGCAGTCTACAGACCCTGAGAATGTTTTTCAGACTGAAATGTGTCCAAAGCACAAGATTTGAATGCTGTTATGTGATTAAAACTTGATTTATAAAAAGGCCACTAATGTTTGAATTCCTATTCTTCCACATAAAAGGTATATCAAAGACTTTATTTTGAAAAGCTCACAAGTGCAAATCATGGTTAAGAAGAGAAACCTCTATGAAACTCAATCCTGATCAGTGTGAAGGGGACAATGTATCTTGAGTTTATTTTTATTATGAACTTCTGTGATTCATTCTAAAGTGTCTGTTGCTTCAGTCACATTGGACTTTTTATCTGTTGTTTCCCTACTGCTCACCTTTCTCTTCACTTGACTTTAAGATGAACATACTCTCAAAACTTTTCCTCCACCTCTCTCACTCTTTGTCTCCCACTCACCCTCCCTCCCTCTCCCCCTCCCTCTTTCTCCTGTTGGACTTGTTCACTAATGGCATGCTGTCGTCATCGTCCTTGGAGACAAGCCTTTTATTCCAGTAAGCCTTTTTCATTTCATTAGTTCTGAATTTATAGTGCACTACATCCTCCCACACACACACACACTGATATATTTATAGAAGGAGATGGCACCATAAAAGCGTCCGTCAGTTTCCAGGGGGAAGCCTAATGTCTGTGACACACCTCTTATTTATGCGGAGGAGAGGGCTGGGGAAGACTATCAATGTGACACACAAACACTATCTTATACAGTATGTGCACGGATAGTGTATGTGCCCAATGTACAGAATATGTATTTGACCAAGCTTGTGTAAATACGTATTCATGTTAATCAATGTGTGTGTGTGTGTGTGTGTGTGTGTGTGTGTGTGTGTGTGTGTGTGTGTGTGTGTGTGTGACCTTGTTATATTACCCCCATTAGTGCTAATTGAAGTGAGTTAAAATACAGAGAAACGGAAAGAGAATCTAAATGAACAGAGTCTGTTCATACAGCTTATCTCATGCACACGTTACCTGTTCAACTCATGTGTCAAAGAATTTCAGTTTGGAGTTGGGGCTATGATAATTCTGCCAGAGATCTGGCGGCCCAACCACGGGACCCTTGCCGAGCACGAGGTGTGTCCTTAACACGTACGATTGTGTACACAACAGCTGTGTGTATGTAGAACTCATGCAGCACATTGTTTGAAAGCTGTAGTTTCTGTAAGAACTATTTTTATGCACTGTATTTCCATATTATTTGATAAAATAAATAATTTTCCTCCTCTAGACATCAACAGGGTGACCGCACTCTTAGCTCTTAAATTGCACCTCATTTGGCCAATCACCAGCTTCCATTCACTGTTCCCAGTCTATATCAGCCAATTGCTCGCGCCTGTGCTGATGACTGACGGTCATTGTAGCCAATGAGATTCTGGATAAGTGAATATGCTGCTTCAATCAATACCTTGCATCCTGAAAGCAAGAAGACAGTTTTTTTTTTTTTTTAAGCCAAACTCACTACGTCCAGTGACTAAATCCTGCGTTATATCAGCTGCAGTTCACAATTCAGAAACTACAGATCGTTAGCTTTTAAGAGGCAATATTTGTGCTTGTATTATATACTGTTCGAGAATAGCATGAACTACAGTTTTGCACTTTAAAAATTAGTCAAATCTAATGAGTCGAGTATTCAAACTACTAAGTGTAAACTTATTAAACATGTCTTTTTCTCTTCAGGTCAAAACAGGCGTGTACGGCTTCCTTACTGTACAAATCAGATTTGAACAGAATATAACGTCAGTATTCTCTTCTTTGACAACACGTCCTTGCATGCGACTGCTCTTGGATTAATTCAAATGTCTTAGGTGTTTTGTCTTTGAAGAACAACACAATTTTGTTCTTATCTGCACTGTAAAGTACAAGTTTGAATGACAATAAAGAAAGTCTAAGTCTAACTTGCACTGATTTATCACTGGACGTCTACAAATACAGGTGAAAAACAGAACATCTTAACAACCATCCCATCTCTTCACACTGCAGCAGCGAAAATGACCTGACATTTAATGCTCAACCGCAGCTATCCTCGCTCGACACATTTGTCTCCAATACCGTCCATGTGCACACGCAACACTGGGTTTTCCACCATTTTGATTTTCCTGAAAACAGTTTTTCCCTTTCAGGCGTTCTGCATTCTCCTTTGCAATCTGTTTGAGTTAGTGCTGTGATTCTCACTGACAGGGTCATGAACCGCTATTGATCCGTGCGACATTGTAGTGAAGATGTTTTCTGACAAGAACGGATCTCTTAGTCACTGCCTCTGTCTGATGCTGACGAGTCGATAAATAATCTGCTGCCCAACGTGGCGGATTAAAGTTAGCTCCTTTTTGATTGAAAGTAATTTGTTTTCTGTCAAAATAAATGAAGATGGTTTTGAGATTTGAGTCAGGGTTTTTGGTTCTCTCAAATACAGTCCAACTACTTTTGTGCACTGAGGAATCATTTTGTTACATTCATGAAGATCACGTCTCACTGACTATAAAGCAGAGTTCTCCCGTACCATGCCGAGGGTGTCTGCATATATTACAGGACACATTTCATACATGCAGCCTCTGCTTCAGCTGTACTCTCACTTTGAGTAAACACAGTTGAATATCCAGTGTCCATACATTCAGAAAAGCAAAGTGTGTAGGGTGGAGTCACGGACTGGTGTTTAGTTGTAACCCTATTTCTAAGAGATCCAAATGAAACTCAAAGAAATATTTCTACAAAAAACAGCTGTGGACTACTCAAGTTCCTTTGTTTGTGTCAGTTTGTGGTTTGTTCCTTCACTCACCTCAATGACGCGGGAATCAAACTCGTCATAAGTCTCTGTGGAGAAAGAAAGAGATAAAAGGAACTTTTACACACAAACACATTTTGGCAGAAACAGAAACACACACAAACACTTTAAACTGATGAAACCAGGCTCCTGCAAGTGTTCAAAAAATAAAATAAAATACCCAGAAGTCCTTGCAGTTGTGTAACAGGTTGACACTTTTCATTGTCAGTGACCTCTGAAGGATGTTTGTCTCCCGGCAGCCGCCTGTTCACTTCTAACCAATTAACAATGAACAAAGGAGAGCTGAGTCGCAGACACAGACAAAGACACACAAACAACAACAACAACACACACGCACACACACGCACACACACCTCAGCTGGGACATTAGCCCACCATCTGTGAGGAACTAAACCCAATCAAAGACAACCAACCTAGTTACAGATCTCTGCACAGCACAACCACAAGGTCCAGAGTGTGTTATGTTTGTGTGACTATAAAAAGAGTTTTCCAATAAAGCACAGAGAGCACAAGTGTATGACTCGGTGTGAGGGCTTGTTAGCAGGAAGTATCAAGAATAAATAAGAGAAAAAGAAAGAGGGACACAAACAGTAAGTATCTGAACACAAGAAGAAGAAGAGGGTAAACTACAGAGCCATGTCCCTCATCGGTCAGCAGTTTGAGCTAAATGTTCTGAACTCAGCCGGTCAGCAAGGAGCAAAGTTTAAACGGGTAATGAGTCTTGGAACGGGTGCTCCGTCAGTGAATCAGGACGCATTAACAAGAGATGTTGCTCGGGGTTGGTAATGAAGAGTTGATTAGACCGGAGATGAACCTTCAGACTTCAGAGAACATTTTAAATTACAGCATTAGATCCAGCTCTTAAACACAAACTCCTGTTACAGACTCTCCTGTCACAAGTGGTGCGAACACTTGCCTATTTCAATTTGTTCCAGTGTTCGTAGCATGCTTACACGTTCACGTAGAACAAGTTTAAGAATTGTAACTACACTGATATCTTCTCAGAAATTCCTCCCGTAAAGCCCAAAATGAAGTATTGGCTAAATATGAGTGCAGTCAAGTGTAGACCAGTACCAAACTATCACAGCAATCATCCAGGGGTTGAACCCAGCTGTCTGACATTGCAGTCATATGAACCAAACTGAATTTCTAACATATGGTAGAGAAACAGGTGCCGTCATTTGGGCTCTTTTGCCAAGAAACAAAAGAGTGTGCGGGAGGAAAGAGACAGATGAAAGGAGTTGATAGAGGGGAGACCAAAGGAGGAAATTACTGGATGTGACTTTCCTCACATCCAGTCAGAAGCCAAGGGCCTGACAAAAGACAAAGAAACGATGTGAAAATAGAAAGTGTGGGGTGTTGTTGTTGATGAAGGTAACTAAATGAAGAGAGAAAGAGAGACAGAGAATAACAAGTGCTAGACAGAATGAGGAATGCTCGAGAAAAGAAGAAGAGAAAGAAGGTCGGACAGAAAGAGAAGAGAGAGAGAGAGATGTTTTTCTAAATTAGGAAATCGTCCTACTTGACAGTTTGGTCACATAATCATCTTCATCAGACCTAAAGGGACAACTTCAAGCCGGCCACTTCTCCTATTCTCTCTCCCTCACACAGGGCAGCTTCTACCCTTATTATTCCTCCATTGCTTCATCCATCGTTTCTTTTTTTCGTTATGAAGCATGTACCGCTGGACTGAGATCTTTAAATCCTGCTCAAGTGTTATAAACACACAACGCCAACATCACTGACATGTTTGGGCACTGTTTTCAAATGTGGTTCACCTCCGTTGGGTCCGGGGTCCGGGGAGCCCAGGCTGATGCCCCCCATGGAGTGTCCTGTCCATCCTCTTTCCCTCTTCACCCTCATCTTCCGCTTCTTCTCCCACTCATCCCTCTGACGCACTGCAGAGAGACACAAACATCCAAAGTCAGAACAGGAAATTGACTTCAAGAGCCCGACATGATTTGTCATTGTCAAATTAACTGCGTTATTACTTCTAACAAATGAAATCACAACGGAGGCAAATAAGCTGGTTTTATGTTGCTGCTCCTATACCCACATTCAAAGGTTTCCTGTGGAGTTATTGACCTCTATTAGTGCTAAAGAGCTGATTTTCTATGAGTGAGTCAAGATATGCGGAAAAGTACAAAACAAAAAAAAGGGAAGAAGCAGCCTGCACAGCACACATGGATTTAAATAACGCTGCTTTTGAGATGCTTTAAAATCTTGCTTTTATAAATATGTTATGATGAAAATACGCAATCAGTTCTTTTGTTAAACCTCAAGGAAACCAGTGTTTGTTACACTCATTTAAAACCAGGGCTGTACGATATTGGGGAAAAAAACTGACATTGCAATATTTTTGTTTCCTGCGATATATATTGCGATATTTTTTAAAGTTTACTGCTCCCTGAAATGATGATTACAGACTCTCACCTGTTTGCCTCTGTCTCCCTCTGCCTCTGTGAACACTATTTGCGTTTGCAGAGTCTTAATCATGTACGTTAATTATTGATATCGATCTATAATATTTCCTGCAAGTGATTCTTCTCACATCAGGTTAGACTTTTTAATAACGCGCTCATGCACTGAAGTTCCATCATTTAAGTTTCCCTCCGCGACCAAATAATATTACGGGGATATTTATATTTATATATATATTATATGTTAACATGCTGCGCCCCTCCAGCCTGCGCGCGAGAGAGAGACACACAGCGGGAGCGCGCACATACATACAGGCTGAGCAGACGCGCAATGGCTCACAGAGTTTGTCCTCCTCCGGTAAAGTAATGTTTAGAGACATTTCTAGAACAAGCACAATGCATTTCGTGAAGATGAGCCGCCTTGGAAAGAGAAAAAGGGCGATTTCTGCAAGAAGCAAAGTAAACTTTAAGCAACGGATTACTTCGACATTAAACTACGACTGTTTCCTCATGAAATCGTAAGGAGTGGGAAGGAGGACGTCAAATAAACAATAAAATGGGCTATCAGAAGATCGAAGCTTAGACCTCAAAAACAAAATCGAGAGCCTGTTCTGACTGAAGACAAAGTTGAACGCACAGATCTGGAGGCCGCTGCCTTTAACTCCTAAAGTGTTAAATATAGCCCCTTATGTGATGTTAACTATAAGCAAACTGTCAGATTATCAAAATCCCTGCTCCTCTCCGCTCACATTCACCGCTCCCTCTCTCTCAGTCACTCGACCACTCACGCTGCACGTCGCTCTGCCCGACCCTGATAACAGCAGGTGAGATGACAGAGCGCTGAGAAGGTGCTCTAACTATGCGAGTTGTTGCATGTAATGTGGAAAAATAAATAAAATATGGATGCTCATTTAGATATTATTAATGTGAATGGGTGCAGACAGGCTACATAAACTTAACTTGAAAGGCTCAAATATATTGTTTGGCTCCAGACAGATTTTTTTTCTCTTCACATCGCATGTCCTTGCTGTTTGACTATTGCGCATGCGCACATCGCGATGAAGATCCTGAAACGATATTTTGTGCAGCCCTAATTTAAACACTACTTTTCTTTGTTTTCACGACACCTTGTATGAGAGTTTTTTTAGGGTGCGGTGTTCATGGAATCTTACCCAGTTCAGCTTGCACCTCCTGCTGCTCACTCTCCCCTCTTCGACTCACGATCTGGAGACTCCCGTCCCTCAGCACTGGAACGTTAAGACCAGGCCACAGATATCCTCCGCGGCCTGTGGGTTATAGTCAAAAGAAAAACACACACAAACACACACAAAATTATATTAACATATGAGAGAAGAAAGGTCAAAGGTATCGTTTATTGTCCCCACAGGGAAATTTGTTTGCAGCTGGAGACATACAAATACATAAAAAACACTAATAAATAATCCAAACATCAAGTGCATAAGTACATAAAACATGGAAGAAGTGTACTTCTTATTTTAAAGCATCCCACAAATGTAGGGCGTTATGGTTGTCATCAGCGTAAAAACATGTAACGTAAATAAACTTTTGCCCAGAAAAATTGTGTTTTCTAGAGGATTTGATATTATTGTTAGAACTGAGCATGGAAGACAAACAATAACCAAAATATAAGCAGTGGTTTGCATGACAGAAACAAGAAGCATCCCATCATTTACTTGATTCATTTAAATAAAACAGTCTAGGGGACTACCGTCACTGCAGACATATGAGAAACAGACTGACAAGACTGTGACAGAAAGACTTAAACTCAATGAAGTGGGATATTTTATCTCGGGGAAAAAAAAGCGAGAACAACTTGTGAGTCATTTAGTGAATGGTGTCCATTAAGACAGCTGCACACATCTTCAAAGCAAAAAGGAGAAACTTTATCCTTCACAAATAAAATACTGAAAACAATCTGACTGTCATATTTACGGGCTATAAAAAGATTTATATTTAGAATTGCTTGACTCTTCATCGCATCCAAGTAAAGTCCGGTCAGGACATCTGAGGAGACGATGATGTCATACCTTCTCCTATGATCTGTCCCCTGTTCAGGTCTCTCCTCAGTTTGCGTTTGGTTCTCTTTCCTCGGCCCTTCCTGGCTCCAGCACCCATCTCCGCCAACACACCTCGCCATAACTCTTCAGCCGTCACTGTAAACGCACGAAAACAAATACACATGAACATCGCAGCTCTGAGATGAGTAATCCTGCCCATTTATTATCTATAAGAAAAGGTTGTGCAGACTCTGATGACTGTTAGCGAGAAAAAAAAATCAGCCACACATATAGGCTTCTTTGTTTATCAAGTGAATTGTTCACTTAAGGGGAGTAAGAGCTAGTGGGTGGCTTTCTGATGTCGCTGAAAATGTGTGACGTTACTCTGCATCATGGGGACAGAGCACTTTGAATATAACCTTTTCATACACTTACACTTGTTGAAGAAGCTGCCATGCCTGGTTTGCTGCCAGGCTGTCTGGGGAACCAATGGAAGTGCAGGGTTTCTTTGAAGAGAGCCGGCTGAGGCTCGAGTCGCAGCATGGGACACCTGAAGTGCTCCCCCAAAGATACGCAGCGGTGCAGCACCTGATAAGAGAGAAATATCTCATCAGTTATCACATTTTTCATTTCTTACAACCATTTTTTTTTTTTTACCTTAATGCCGAAATAAACATGGCACATAATTAATAAAAAAAAAAAATAATAAAGTAAGAGATGTCTACATTTCCTACTAAGCTAGGCCACTTTAAACAGGATCAAAAGGTAAAATAAAAATAACTGGAGTGTAAATTAATGCAACCAACAGTTCCATGTTTCAGAGTGTAATGTCTAAAATATGACAACAATAGTTTTCATTCAGGATGCACAACCACAGCAGCAACTAAACAGACTGACAGCCTTCAATCAATTGTTTTCTAAAATATGTAAAACGTTACGAGCTATCTGTTATTCATTTATCTCATGTTAGGCAATAAATATTTCAGACTGCATTGTAACTGCAGCTCCATGTAGACATCCCTGACCATGACGTCCCTGCAGCGGTGACAGGCTGGTCCCGGGTCAGTGAAGAGAACTGAGCACTAACAAACACTTACAGCGACACAAATCAAACATATATACAGTCAACATGCTGCAGTGTAAAATTAAATGTTTCAACGAAGCCGTGGATGAGCAGAAAAGTGAAATAGTTCACCTCCGAGAGTGATGCGGAGGGCACAGCACACCCGTATGGACGCCGCCATATTTGGATTAAGCAGGGTCCTTGAGAGGACAACAAGGCGTCTGAGCTGTGCCTGTTGGAAAATAGAAAAAAAAAAAAGACGAACGTTTATAATTTTCTTATGTCTACGAAAGAAAAAAAAAGCATTCTGGTTTAGCGGGATCGTAAAATACATTTAATATATAAATGGCATGATAAAGTATAATTTTTGTAGAAAAAACAATTGTGTCTTGTAAAGCCTACTCCGAAGTGGCTATTACGGTGGCTGAGAAGTGCAAAGCAAAATTACAAAGTGTTAAACACTTTTACAAAATGTGAGACAAATTTACATTTTGAAAAACATTTTTACAAAATTTACAAAAAAGTGATTTTTTTACAAAATTTCAAAACCAGAAAACACTTACCAAGGACAAAACAAATTTACAAGATGTGAAACACTTTTACAATCGCTGAGAAAAATTTACAAGAGGCAGAACACTTTTACCAGTCCCCCAAACAGATTTACAAACGACAGAATCTTGACGGAAAGGGAATGTACCGCGACAAAACAAAACAAGCAAAATTACCCCTCACTCGATCAATTCCCGGGTCACTTCCGACATTCGGTACATTCCCATTTTGTCAAGATTCTGTCCTTTGTAAATTTGTCTCATCGATTGTAAAAGTGTTTCACATCTTGTAAATTGGTTTTATAAAATGTAAATGTGTTTTTCAAAATGTAAATTTGTCTCACATTTGTAATTTTGCTTTGCACTTCCCAGCCACCGTAGAGCTATGCCTCATTAAAAATCCAATTAACAGTCTGCATTGAGACTATTTTTAAAAAAGCTTCAAAAACTTAAAACACGTTATTTTATTCAAAACATGAAATAAATAGAAGTTCCAGAATAATTCCAATGCCCCAAATAGTGGTAGGCTAGCTAAACAATTATATATATATATTTTTACCCATGGCAATAAAAATGAATTCACGTGACCAATTAAGCGGGCTAGAACATCGTTATAAACAGGCGGAAATGGATGCCTCGCTTTGCACAACAAACTGAGAAATGTAAGACGGTGGGGCTAACCTGCAACTCACCTTGACAACAGGTAAGCTACAGAAAGTCAGTGTAAAGGTGTATGTAAATTAGAAAAGATGTGTGGGTCTACCTGGCCTATAACTGGTCACCTTGGTAGCGTTTATACTAAAGAAAACGAGGGTGTGTTGTGGATAGGCCCAAACTATTGCTGTGTGGTGGGCATGTGTGACTTTCACAGACAGCTGCAGATAAAATAAAAATTACTTTTACTTATTTTCAAGTAACCTCATAACAATGACAAGATTGCAAAATTCACAGTAAATGCTATGACAACTTTGGCTCACATAATATAAATAGCATATAACCTTTACAATTAAATGTTTTATTTTGTATAAAATAAAAAGTGTATGGCCTTAACAAGTTCTGTTAGGCCTCATTTCCTGTTTAACAATAACCATCTTTAACTCTATTCTGCATACATTGCTTTATAACTGCGCTGGCTGGCACTGCTGACTCACATGTATCATGAACACAGACTTCTGTTTCTTTTTGCTACCTATTATTACTTTTTTTTTTTTTACTTCAAATTTCATCTACTGGCTCCATTTGATTAATTCATGTATTGACCTTACTGCTTAAGTTTGTAGATGCATGAGTTGGAGCATCATTCGTATAAAACTCACTGAATAACCTCACCATGAATGATGTTTCTGTGTTTCTGAAGAGCTCTCAGATCTCAAAGAAGAAAGGAAAGGAAAAACAAATTAGGGAGATTTTTCTAAGAGGCTGTCTGTTGATTGGCTGCATTCATAAAACTCTCCAGAGTCTTTGTTATCCCATTTATTTTATTTGATTAATTATTACGTCAAGAGGAGAGGAAACACAATGATTATAACTTGGAGACGAGGCAGGAGAAGGGGGAAGTAAACATTAAAGTGACTGTGTGAGGGAATAAAACCCTGTTTACAGATGGAAATGAAATAAGGCAAGGAGTCAATCATCCACACTGCATTCACTGAATTTGGACAGGAAGGAATCTGCAGGGAGGAATTTTAGTTATTCAGTCTGATATGTCAAACTTTTAAACTGCATGTATCTACATTATATTGAGACTTTCACACTTGCACAAAACCCCTGAAAAACTCTTGATATTTGCAAGAGGAGCTGTATGTGTGAATGCAAACAGCCACATTTTTCACTCTGACTTCATCCGGAGTTTCTCCTGCCAGCCCCTTTGTATTTTTTTTCGCAGAAAGTCCAAGTGAGCTGATGTGATAACACAGCAGGATATAACCAGGACAATTCCCCTCTAGGGAGTGGTGACATTTAATACCTGCGATTGGTGCACAACCATGGGCTGTCTGCCTGCGAATGGTAGTATGTATCTCTGTGCAACTGCTGCATTACTTTTCTGTTTGACAGTATTTTCATCTCCCCTCTTTTGTTGACACTGTGATTCTGTCTAGATATTAAAGAAACTATTCAAAAGAAAAAGTTGTCTATTATGAATGAGGACTGTACGACAGCTCGTAAACCCCCTCCTGTCAAAATATTGTGCCTGACAATGGCAGGTTTTGACCTTAAATAGCTGTGTTCTGTGTTTTTACTGCTATATGCTGGCCCCTCTGTTGCTTAAAGGCTTAATATGCGATTTTTCACACTTAAATGTAATAGAAATCAAGTATATCCTCTGAAAATAACTCTGTGAGTCATGACTGTCTACAATGGCTGTAACACCGAGTCCCACTGTCTGTGATGTTTTCCGAGCTTTCCGAGCTGTAGCTTCACTTTGTTTACATCGCCAGGACAGCCGGCCGGCTCATCCCATCGCGTATAAAAGTTGTTTAATTGAGGGACTAGAGAAAAGAAGAATAACATACTGTACTCACTGCTTAACTGAATGTCACGTAAGCGTTTCTAGATCACGCTCATTTCGGGTAATGCTCTGCACGCTCATGCAGAGTGAAGATACGAGCATAATAAAGATAGCTAGCATTAGCATGCTAACACAACAATGCAGCACAATTTGTTTTAGTTTCATGCTGGTGCTCAAGGGCGACATCTGCTGGATCAAAAAAAATGCATATTAAGCCTTTAAGGGAGAAGAGCTCTGCACATAATTTGTGTCCTGAAAAAACAAGATATCATAGCTTAAAATAAGCTAAGCTAATGTGCAGCAAGTTAGCTCTTAGCGACTGGAAGATAAGGACACCTTTTTCAGACAAGTTGGAAAACAAACAAATGTGTGAAGACTAAATAAATTATATTGTAGACAAGTGGAGCTGAAAACTTGACTCTTTGAGAAATATATTAACATGAAACGGCTTCATTCAGTATTCCTTTTAATAGTTTAATTTGACTTCTCAAACAAAACAATACATATGTAGACAGCTCAAGTGCATGCTTTTATTAACTTCTTTCTAAAGTTGAACACTTGAAAGGTCTGCTTTATTCAGACTTCTACCATTATCATGCCACTCCTTAAACCATCAGCATTATCTAATTCTATATTAAAGTGAATGAACATTAATTAATGTAAAGAAGTAATTCTGATCTTATTTTTACATTTCTCGCAGCCCCTAAATTTATGTTTGTTGTATATTCAGGGGCCTCCCCTCACCTCGTAATCCTTCCCATTTTTGTGCAATGAATATGTATTAATGATAATAACATGTTTTTGGATATACACATTGCTAACATGAGCAGTAAGCTGTGATTGAGCCTGTGCACTAGTCAACCAATCAGAACCTCTGAGTGACTGGTGATTATCCATGTTTGTGTCTTGATTTCACAGCATTCAGGGTAATTTCCACAATATTAAAGCACTTTTTTCCCCAAACACTACGGAGAGCTGCAATCAAAAACTTGCTGAAGAATAAAAAAACAGCCCACCAGCTGTGTGACAGCCGTGAGTGGGAGTCACTGTTGAAAGAATCAATACAGTTACTTTTTTTCCTGAAATAATCGACCCATAATGACGGCCTCATTCAGGGTTTTATGTAAAAGGCTGAGTCACTTTTCTTAGTTTCTTACAGCAGTGAGCAGAGGAGGGGAGAGTGCAAAAAATATGTTTTTTTTTAGTTAAACATATTTCCTCTGGTTTGAATACTGTAAAGTCAAAGTCGAAAACATCCACACTAGGAATCCTGTCCAGAGTGGACAAGACACAACATGGTGCCGTTACCAATACGTTAGCAGTATTTAACATTTAACATAGTATAAAATTAAGGCTAAGACTGAAAGTTAATTATGCCAATAATGAATGGCAGGTTAAGAATGTAAATCATTGTTGTGGCAAATAATCGCCCCCGTAAAATAAAATGATGCAGTTATTTTGTTAGAGCATTAGCTTTACACACGCACGCGCACGCACACACACACACACACACACACACACACACACACACACACACACACACACACACACACACACACACACACACACACACACACACACACACACACACACACACACACACACACACACACACACTAGCAGGTATATTTTAATTTGATTGCAGTGAGTAGGGTCAGCAGGTGTCGGGCATCCCTATAGTAATTAATGTGCTTTAGTGAGTCTAATCAAATTAAAGTAAAGTATTTATTTAGTCCTAGTAACAAGACAAGACAATGTCTTGTCTCCCACAACAGAGAAATGTACATTGTTACAGCAGTAAAGGCAAAAATTCAGATAAGCATAAATTCCAAAAACCTGCAACATGAAAAAGGAAACAAGTTTTGCATTCAACAAAGTGTTATCTTATCTTATGTTGATATGCCACACCTGTCAAGTGGATAGATTATCCATGCAAAGGAGAAGGGTGGACTAAAACAGATTTAATTAAAAGACATTAGCCTTTTGTGTAAATAGACAATTTCTTAGATCTTTAATTTTAACTAGTGAAAAATTTGAGCAAAAACAAAGATGTTGCATTTCTCTTCTCGTTCAGTGTAGTTGATGATAACTCACTTGATTTCTCAGTTATAGAAATGTAATAATGACTTTATTTATTGCCACACCATAAATTAACAGATAAAA